TGCGCTACCCTGATATTGGCCACAATCCAAGAAAACGATACGCATGAGCAGTAGAAAGCCATTTCTACAGCTGGCGGCTGCTTTGAAGCTTGCATTGCAGCTGCTTGTACCCCAGAAGAAAAGCAAGCTACACTTCAGAATAAAAAGTGATTCCTCTCTGAAGCTGTACAAATGAATGCAGTGGATGCTTCTGAGTAACTTCATGGTAAGTTCAAAGTATTACCTCAATTATTTTATTGTTATGAGTTGGCGGTGGGGAGTAGGCTGTATGCTGAGAACCTTCTAATGCCTGGGCCCCCTTCTAATTATCAGAATAGCCAGGTTAGCCTCCTGGGGAAGTGACTGCCTAGGTGATGGGCCATTGAGGGGAACAAAGGAAGGAGATCTGTGCGAGGGCGGCAAATGGATCAACTCATGGATCATTAGAAGGACAAAGCCAGAGTTAAGAACAGATATTTGAGAGTGGTGTGAGTTAGAAGAAAAGCAGCAAGCTGGGGAGAGTGAGAGATAGAGTGATGGTTGGGTTCTGTTTGAATCCAAGGCTGCAGGAATGGGGGAAACAAGACCTTCTTGGGGTGTTAATGCTGTGAACGCCTCTATCTTAGGCTCAGGATGTGTGTGTATTGCTATTTTTCAAGAAAAAGAGTATCTGGAACCCCACTTTAGTACTCTAATTATAGGATGTACCACCGCTCCAAAGTTAGCAAGATAAGTCTTGCTTAACAATAAACCATGTTTATCTGCTCCCTGTCTACTTTCTGCCTCTCTCGGGAGAATTTCAAATACCCAAAGATTGGACACCTGTCTCCATGAAGGAAGGTCTCCTTCCATTTGGAGACTGCGCAAAGGATCCCTGTCATGGGCATAGCCAAGGGGGGGGGGCGCAGATGCTTAGCCCCCCTCCCAGATCAAGTAAAACAATAAAAATACTTAACTGACCAATCACATCGGTTCTGCCCCCCACTACCGAAAGTCCTGTCCCCCCTAACAATGTCCTGCCGTCCCAACGAAAACCCTGGCTACATTCATGCGCCCTGTCAGCTAATTAGATGTCCCCACCTTCAGGACGCAGGTGACGCTGTGGGTTAAACCACAGAGCCTAGGACTTGCCGATCAGAAGGTCGGTGGTTCGAATCCCCGCGACGGGGTGAGATAAATAGGTACAGCTCCAGCGGGAAGGTAAATGGCGTTTTCGTGCACTGCTCTGGTTCATCAGAAGCGGCTAAGTCATGCTGGCCACATGACCCAGAAGCTGTACGCCGGCTCCCTCGGCCAATAAAGCGAGACGAGTGCTGCAACCCCAGAGTTGGTCACGACTGGACCTAATGGTCAGGGGTCCCTTTACCTTTACAATTTACCGGCAGGAGGATGGGTCAGCAGTGATTCTGGCGGCCCCTTCTTCTTCTGGCAGTTCTCTCTATCACCACCAGAATGGATTTTGGGCAGAGGAATAGGGGGGAAAGCATTGGTTGAAAACCACCTCTTCCTCCTAATGGAGCATCTAGCTAGTAGAGTTCTATTAAACGCAAGCTCTGGATCCAACCCAAGAGCATTAAAAAAGTTTGGGATCTGTCTCTTGCCAAGCATTTAATAACAACAACAAAAAAAGGGTTGTTAGAAGCCAAACTAAACACAATCATATATCAGCTATGCAAATAGAAGTGATGTTCATGTGAGACCTCCAGCTATCAATGCTTACTTATGGAGATGCTATGTCATGGATAGTTGAGGCCTTGGCAATGTATTCAATGATTTAGTTATTTGACAATTTCCTTGCTCCTTTTATTTTCTTTTATGTGACCAATATAAGCATTTAAAGTTGTGTTGAAATTGATTGATGTTGCCTTACTATAACATTAATGAAACACTCTTTTTAAAAAACCAAACAAACTTTTTTTTAACATGCACTAAGATCGATCCTATCCCTTGAGTCCTCTGGTGTCAATAAAGTGTTAAACTGCACATCACTCGCTTTGTGCACATATGGTTGTTAGGGAATTTATTTTATTTTCCAATAAACAGATCTGCAGATTAATTTGTGCATGTCTTGGAGGCGGAGAAAAAAGGTTCCGTCGAGCATGCTCACTTCAATAGGTAAGAGCAGTTTCCATGGAGACAGGGTTAGAGGTGAAGATATTAATGATAAATAAGGGGGAGATGGACACAGAAGATCTGGGTTTTAAAAATAGCCCGTATACAAACCACTTGGTTCTGGGCAGTGTGAGGACAAAGCGACGATTGAAAATCTGGATTTTCTAAGCGAGTATGGATTTGGTTTTGGTGAACTGTTGCAATAAAGGATATCATGTTCATAATCCACATGCTTTAGATTAAATGCAATATTTCTTTATATAAAGCTATACAAAATTTTAAAAGGGAATCCCCCAGCAAGAATGGGGCAGATGATTTTTAAAATAACTGATGATACTTATAAGGGTATGTGAAGTTTTCAGGAATGGCAAAGTGAGGTGGGAATTGACAACAGAGATATCAAAACACCCTGCAAGAAATCATGGAGACAAGTTAGAAATTGCTGCAAAACAAAGAAGTTGTTTTGAAGGAACCAATATTTGGACATTTTTGTTTATGAACAAAAGACTGGCTTCCATTTACTGTATATCAATTTTTTTAAAACACCAAACTAGTTCACTAATAAGGTGGAAGTGATTGAGATGACTGCCAAAAACACAAATGTGATTGAAGGAACTAACAGAAGCATGATAAACTGGAAAGAGATGGAGTGAAAATGCCCTCATTGGAAAAACTAATGGAAGGTGGCTGCAGACTGCTGGGCAGTACAGTGGTACCTCAGGTTAAGTACTTAATTTGTTCCAGAGGTCCGTTCTTAACCTGAAACTGTTCTTAACCTGAAGCACCACTTTAGCTAATGGGGCCTCCTGCTGCTGCCACCCCGCCAGAGCACGATTTCTGTTCTCATCCTGAAGCAAAGTTCTTAACCCGAGGTAATATTTCTGGGTTAGCGGAGTCTGTAACCTGAGGTACCACTGTATGGATTTATGGAGGGGAAAGTGTGAGACAGTCCTTTAAAAGGATGCCGTATGCACATGGCTTCCCTCGTAGAATCCCAGGAACTCCTAATTTCTCTCTCACAGATTAACAATACCAAGCACCATTAACAAACTACAGTTCCCTCGATTCTTTGGAGGAAGCCAAGCACTTTAAACATGTGTTAAGTGTGCTTTAAATGTATGGTGTGTAATTGACCATAGGTGCCAGACTATGGAGCGGAGAAAGAATAAGCGGAAAGGTGCAATTTAGACAGATTTGTGCTATGCATAAATAACTCAAACTACGGAGCACCATCAGAAAAAAGGGCATTTGAGAGAATGGTTTAAAAAGAAAAACTCCACAGTTAACATTGTAATAGTTTGTGCTCAGCAGTCGTTAGTAAAAATTTAAAGGGTGGTCCTGAAAGAACTTTTGAGTTGAGCACTCCTGAATTATATCCTTCCGATACTGACTTTTTCTTCTCTTGATACACTGCAAGGCCAAAATGTGATGAGTAAGCAGAAGCAGGCAGGAGCAAAACTGCCTGCTGAATATTGACTGTTATGAAGACAAATAGTTGAACACCCTGAAATATATGTGGAGCTTGTGATAAATGTAATTTGCACGTTATATTCATATCTAGACTGTATTCAACAAGGAAATAATTAATTTAAGAAAACCCCCAGATGGAGTATTAAAGAGATTTCTACTAAAATTATTTTCTAGACAAAAAGAGCTTAATTTATTTTGCAGTTGGTATGTAGGCAATGCTGCCAAAACATCATAAAACAACCAGCAAAATTGCTGTATAAATATGGAAATTTCTATTATTTTTATTCTCGTTATTTTACTGTTGGGTATTTAGCAGTATTTAACACGCTTTGGGGAACAGAAAAGCAGCCTATTTGTTTTTCAAAATCAATAAACAAAATGTCCTTGCTGTGAAACCAAAGAACTGAATGGTTTGTAGTCTTGCATTAAAAAGAAGATGCATTTTGGGTCCTAAAGGATGTTCTTTAGGGTAATACTTGTAAACTGAACAGGCTGGAAACAACCAATAAAAACTTCTCAGATAAAATATTATGCTAGTTTGTACAGAAACCTTTATCCAATAGTACTAGAAGATCACCTGTCTTCTAGGTGCCAATAGTTAAGTGTAACATGGTATATATACTTCCAGCAGCAAAAAAAGACCTAACACCACCGTCAGTCACCATGCTTAATTATTACTGGTGTCCACTGCCATTCGCAACAGAGCTCCCATAGCATTACATGGTTTATTTACACATAAATATTACCCGAGCCAATATACCGTATTTTCCGGCGTATAAGACGACTGGGCGTATAAGACGACCCCACAACTCTTCCAGTTAAAATATAGTTTGGGATACTCGCCGTATAAGACTACCCCTCTTCCAACGCACACCAAATAAAAATTTAAAAAACCAGTCTCCAGTCCAGTTCGGAAATCCGCTCCACTTCCCAGTGGCCGGGGGCTTCTGGGGCCAATTTTTAAGCAGATTTCTGCTTCATCTAGAGAGCTTGGTGTCCTCTGATTTAATTTGCTGTCGTTTTATCCTTTGGTGGGGAGTTGCTGCAGGAGCTGCTGCTGTAGCCGGCATATAAGCCGACCCCCAACTTTTGAGAAGATTTTCTTGGGTTAAAAAGTAGTCTTATACGCCAGAAAATACAGTAACCCTACAGGGTCTTATTTCTCCTATAACCGCAGCCTTGGAGTCAAACAGAAATCGGTCATTGCTCTGCTTTTCTTCCTTCCCAGCCTGCAGCTTTTGCATCCAGGGTCACACCCTAAAATTCTGGCTCTATCTGTTGAGGGAAGGGGTCCCCACTCATTTGTCATCTTGCAAAAGCCCTTGATCCTTGGTTCTCTTAATGGCCCATCACCCAGGATGCTAACCTGGCTTGAGCTTTTTGTTGATTTAAAGCAGAGTCTCTGGTGCCCAGCGGAAGGATGAGGAATACGTGTTACATACTCTATATTGCTTTATTTACAGTTCAAAGCTGGTATATTACAGAAAGACATCTTGCCTCTGCCAGAGCAGAGAAATGCATCCTCTCTCCTCAACAGCTCGGAGAGAAACACACAGTGAAAAACAGGAAACCAGTGTACGTCACATCCAGTCTCCCTTTCCCGTGAGAAACTCCAACAGTACAGACTGTGGAATGTAAACACCTGTCTCATGACAAGCAGAGCTGCACAGTGAAGGAAAGCAGAAACCAACATCCCCCCCCTTTCTGTGAACATCACTGGGCAGCGTGTTCGTACAGTATCAGTACAAACCCAACTTCTGCACATAGGTACAGTGTTGATCCCTTGATACAATCTTGGACAATACATCAGCAGGAATTTCATTACCTGGCATATAGGACACCGTTACGAGTCCCTTCTGAATACATTCCCTAGCATGCTGCAACTTTAATTGCAAGTGCTTTGTGCTTTGCTTACAACCTTCAGACTTCAGCAAAGCCAAACATGCTTTGTTGTCCTGGTAAACCTGGATTGGACATTTGACAGGAATTTTCATATCTTTGCACAATTGTACTAACCATTCACAATCCTTAAGTGAATAAGACAGTGCATTCAGTTCGGCTTCACAAGTACTTAAGCTAACTGTTGTTTGCTTCTTGCATGACCAATCAAACAGACTCTGATTGTACATGTAGCAAACTCCAGACGTACTTTTCCTGTCTGTAGTGTCACTTCCAAAACTTGCATCTGCAAATATCTCAAGACCACCAGACTTCTGATTGTTAAATCTCAGTCTGTAATGCATAGTGCCTTTCAAATACCGCGCTATGCGTTTCAGAGCTTTCCAATCCTTGACACTAGGATTGTTGACTTGTCTGCTTAGCAAATTACAGCTAACAGCAATGTCTGGTCTTGAACATCTGGCAATGAAGTTTAGCTTGCCTAGCACACTCCTGTACAGTGTAGTGTCAGAAAATGCTTCTTCAGTGTCATCTACCTGATAACCTGTTGTCATCGGTGTGTCTACAGGGTTAGCATCCATCAGATTTAGTTTGCTTAACACATCAGCAATTTTCCGTGACTGGTGTACTAGAATGTTACCATCTTGATCTCTCTCTATTTCCAGAGATAGGTAGTTGTTTACCTCACCAAGATCTTTCATGTCAAAGTGCTCTTTCAGTTGAGCTAGGGCGTTATTGTACATTGCGACATCTTTCCAAAAGAATAATAAATCATCAACATAAAACAAACAGTACAGTTTCTTTTGCCCCTCCTCTTTGACAAATACACATGGATCAGCTTTCCCTTGCTGAAAACCTAGAGAAAACAATACTTCAGTGAGTTTTGTGTGCCAACACCGTGCACTTTGTTTGAGACCATAAAGGGATTTCTTCAGAGCACAAACAAATCCCTGTTTTACCTGTACGCCATCAGGTGGAAGCATATAAAGTGATTCATCTAGAGATCCGTACAGAAAAGCTGTATTAATATCATGGTGACTAATGTGTAGATTTTCCTCTGCAGCTAGCTTGAGCATAAGCCTAATGCTTTCATATCTCACTGTGGGTGAATAGGTCTCGTGATAGTCTTCACCTGGTACCTGTGCAAAACCTCTGGCTACCAATCTGGCTTTGTGTCTGACTATCTTGCCATTTTGATCTGTCTTCGCTTTGAAGACCCATTTGCTTCCAAGCAGTTTCATTCCTGGAACTACTGGAACTAGCTCCCATGTTTTGTTCCTTTCTAAGGAATCAAGCTCAGCCTTCATGGCATTTAACCATGGCTCAGCTTCCTTTGAATCCAAACCCTGGATTTCTTGGAAACTTGAAGGTTCAAATACCTTCTTGGAGCTTTTAACAGCTGTTACTGCTATCTTAGCAAACTCATCAGCAAATCTCTTTGGAGGTTTGCCTTTTGTGGCTCTCTGTGACCTACGAATTAGCCTTAAGTCTTCAACACTCTCCTCTTCCTTCTTAGGAGAAAAACGACCTATTGTGAACAATGGTTCCTCCAATTCTTGATCAGAGCTTTCAGAGGGTCGCATAGAGGCTTTCGCACTCTTGAAATCCTCTGAATCACCCGATTCAGTTTCAGATTCAGACTCAGAACCTTCATCAGTGGGTGTGGGCTGTTGTGGTTGCTTTTGACTATCCTCAGTCTCATCACCGTCATCAGGATAACATTGGAAAATTCCCACATTCTCCCCCACTTTGCATTGTACTCAACACTTCTCGTGAGCTTAATTGTCTTAGAGTCAGTCATCATTATTCTGTAAGACCCTTTCTGATAACCTAGAAAGATACCATGCAATCCACGCTTGTCTAACTTGGAGTTTTGTGGTGAGCGAACCCACATGTCAGAACCAAAATCTTCATGTGTTTGATGTATGGCTTCTTGCCAAACATCTTCTCATAGGGGGTACAACCAATCGCTGAAGATAACCTGCGATTGTAACTGTAAACAAAACACGAGAGAGATTCGGCCCAATAACTCTCTGGAAGATTGGCATCATGCAGCAAGGTTTTTAATCCTTGAAGCAATGTCTGATTTGCCCGTTCCGCAAGTCCATTCTGCCATGGCGAGCGAGGACTAGACAAATCGTGTTGAATTCCTTTCTCAGTCAGAAAAGCTTCAAACTGCTGAGAAGTGAATTTCCCCGCGATCACTGAAAAGAGTCTTTATCTTCTTACCATGCACATTTTCCAACCAAGCACAGAATTCCTTGAACCTAGGAAAAGCCTCCGATTTCTGCTTGAGATTGTACACAAAAATATATCTAGAAAATGCATCAATGAGAACCATGAAGTATCTATTTCCACCCAAAGAGGGTGCTAGTGGTCCAACCAAATCAGCATGAACAACCTGGTATGGTTCTGTAGCTTTCCTACTAGACACCTTACCTTTCGCAGCCATTTTCACCTTGTTTGCTGCGCATGCTTTGCACTTCATGTGGTACCTGCAGGGTTTAATAGTCATACCTTCAACCAAGGCAGGCATTTTAGATACTGCCTCAAAATGCAAATGACCAAATTTTCGATGAAAATCGTGAATACATTCTGCATGCAAACTTTTGTTAGAACCTGCAATGCAACAAGTGTCATCCTGCACCACATCATCATAATACAAAACAAACAAATGATCAACATATTCTGCATGCAATACATAATCATTTTTCTTTGTGATGATGCACTTCTTGTTCTTGAAGGAAACGTCAATGTTCCGCTCATTCAGCTGTCCAACGCTGAGCAGATTATGTTTGGCGTCTGGCACGTAAAGCACATTCTGTATCGATAAGTCCAAACTGTGAAGAACAACAGTTCCGTAGCCTTTACTGGGAATAGTGTGGTCATCCGCCTGGTGAATCGCACCTTCCTGCGGTGTAAAAGACACAAACAGTTTCTTATCGTTGCACATGTGGTGGGTGGCCGCTGAATCAACAACGAAGAAAGATCTAGACGTCTTCTGGACCTCTGCAACCTTTGGAGTGAAGCGTGAAACCATAGCCTTGTGCTGCGTTGTCCTAGACACCGGACCTTTGCCTTTGCCTCGGCCTTTTCCGCGCGATGAGCTTTCGCTGCGCTGCTCTGTCTTGGCCCTGGGATGTCTGCATTCCCTCTTCATATGGCCTAGACGTCCACACGAGTAGCATTTCACTGCCTTCAAAGCTTTGGCGCCATCTGGTGGTTCCACTGCACTATGGGATGACGTCTGTGAAGACTCCCCTTGCCCATGCAGCTAGCACCCCGGCGATCTGCTTCATTTAAAATCACGGCAGTAACAAAGTCCACTGTCAGCTGAGCAGTTGGTTGCACAGCAATCTGGGTTGCAACAGACTCCCAACCTGAACCCAAAGATTGTAGTATCATGAAAGAATACACAGCCTCTGGAAAGTTGAGTCCTCTCTGTTGCAGCTCATGTCTCAGATTTTGCATCTCCATTAGATGTAAACGCACATCTCCACCTTCAGCAAGAGCCATATTATGCAGCTTGTTAAAGTAAAACATAGTGGATCCAGCTTCTGTCCTTAAGTGAGCCTCTCTCAGAGCGTCCCAAATTTCTCTGGCTGAGGTCTTATCACGCAATAGACAGAGCTCTTCTGGGGATACTATCAATGTAAGAGTTCCCCTTGCTTTGGAATCCTTAGCTTCCCATGCATCTGTAACTGGAACTGGGGGTTCCTGTAATCACCTCAAACAAACCCTCTTTCCGCAGAATTGCCTCTGCATACTGAACCCAGTCGCTGTAATTTTTCTTGTTGAGCTTAGGAATCCCACAAGCATCCTGAAGGGCCATCATGACTCTGGCATTAGCCTTCAGCGTCATATGCTGCTTTAAATCTTGCTGCGTCACTGCTGCAGCTGCTTTATTACAAAGGCACACTTAAAAGTTACTTTCGATTTCCCCAGCATAGTGACTTGTGCCTGGGAGCCTTTTGCCTATTCCCGGCAAAACCGGCTTTAAAAGTTCAAAGTCCAGCCATAAAGCCATTAACTTGAAGCTGGCAGGCTGCCCGGAGCAGTAGCACATACCTCATCAATCACTTCTACGCGCAGAGCAGATTCCTTTCCGATCCGTCCCTCTGCATTCCGATCCTTTGCCGGCACTCCGATTCGACCTCTGGAGCCCATAACCACGTGTTGATTTAAAGCAGAGTCTCTGGTGCCCAGCGGAAGGATGAGGAATACGTGTTACATACTCTATATTGCTTTATTTACAGTTCAAAGCTGGTATATTACAGAAAGACATCTTGCCTCTGCCGGAGCAGAGAAATGCATCCTCTCTCCTCAACAGCTCGGAGAGAATCACACAGTGAAAAACAGGAAACCAGTGTACGTCACATCCAGTCTCCCTTTCCCGTGAGAAACTCCAACAGTACAGACTGTGGAATGTAAACACCTGTCTCATGACAAGCAGAGCTGCACAGTGAAGGAAAGCAGAAACCAACACTTTTAACACTTGCTGGATCCAGGAGTTAGAAGTCTGGCACCCAACTTAACACCTCTATTACAAATGGTTACAGAACAGGAAGCAGAGTAGGAGCAGAGAATTATCCCAACAGAAGGGTGTAGAAAGTGGAGTCCCTAAAGGACTGGTACTGGGACCTGTGGCTTTTGACTTGTTTATAAATCACCTAGAGTTAGGGGTGAGCAGTAGGGTGCCTGAATTGTTCAGGATGGTTAAATAAAGGGATTGTCAGGCACTCCAAAAAGAGATCTTTAAACTGGGTGAATGAGCAGTAAAAGGCAAATGCAATTCAATGGAAGCAAAGTGGTGTACACTGGGGCAAAAAAATCCTAATTTCACATGTATGCTAATGTGGTCTCAACTGATGGTGACTGTTTAGGAATGAAACACCGAGGTTGTAGCAAAAAAGTTGAATTCAGTGTTAGCGATCATTAGGAAAGGGAATGAAAACAAAACTGCCAATATCATAATACTATGGCGCAACCACACTTGGAATACTGTTCTCAGTTCTGTTCATCTCAAAAAAGGATTTTGTTGTTGTTTAGTTGTTCAGTCGTGTCCGTCTCTTCGTGACCCCATGGACCAGAGCACGCCAGGCACTCCTGTCTCCCACTGCCTCCCACAGTTTGGTCAAACTCATGCTGGTAGCTTCGAGAACACTACCCAACCATCTCGTGCTCTCTCATCCCCTTCTCCTTGTGCCCTCCATCTTTCCCAGCATCAGGGTCTTTTCCAGGGAGTCTTCTCTTCTCATGAGGTGGCCAAAGTATTGGAGCCTCAGCTTCAGGATCTGTCCTTCCAGTGAGCACTCAGGGCTGATTTCCTTCAGAATGGATAGGTTTGATCTTCTTGCAGTCCATGGGACTCTCAAGAGTCTCCTCCAGCACCATAATTCAAAAGCATCAATTCTTCGGCGATCACAGTATAGTAGATCTGGAAAAGGTTCAGAAAAGGGCTCCCTAAATGATCGAGGGATTAAAGCAACTCCCCAGTGAGGAAAGCTTAAAAAATTTGGAGCTTTTTTTGGTAACGACGAACATGATAAAGAGTTGATAGAGAACTTCCCTCCCTCTCTTCAGAACTTCAGTGGGTCTACTCTTGAGTAGGAACTGGCTGACCACCAACCATAGGAAGGCTGGTTACTTGGGACATTTCCAAACAAGCAGCGCAAACGGAGCCAAAGGCTTCTGCACTGCCGGGTAAAAGTCAGCGCAGCCTCTACACGCCTCCCACGGAACCCGCACTTTCCCACCGCTTCCCTCGTAACGTAGCACCTGGCCTACGTCCTCCTTGCGCGCTTGCTGATTGGCCGCGACGCCCATCCTTCAAGGCGAGGGGAGAGAGGCGGCTCCCGGAGAAGAGACTCCACACAACCAGCTCGTGTGCCCTTTCCCTGCCCCCGCCGCGGATTCTCTCACGGCCCTGCCCGCCCCAGAAGCTCCTCCCCCTTTTGCGTCACTCATCTCCCCCCCGCCCTCGGGCACCGCCCACTTTGCCTACGAATTCGAGGTTGGCAGGGGAGGGGATTTTCTTTTTTTGAGGGGGAGGGGTGGGGGTTGAAGAGAGAACAACAAAAAAAAGCCCTCCTCATGGCCGGCTGGCTCGTGGGCGCGTCTCCGCCCACTTCGGCGTAGCCCCGCCCCTCCTAGGCCGCCGGCCGGCGCAGCTAACTGCGGCCGTTGCCTGCGAGGCGGGGCGACGGGAGCGAGGCGGGAGGCCGCCTCCGCTTGCCGCCGCCGCCGCCACAGGGGAGACTTCCGCCGCTGGTCTCTCACCTCCCGGCAGTCTTTCGCCCTCTCTCTCTCCCCCCCATCTTTCCCTCAGGAGAGGCGACGGCTCCGTGGCGCCTGTTGTCGACCCCGCGAAAGCGCCGTCCGCCCTCTTTATTTCCCTGCGCCGGCCAGGAGCCGCGGAGACTCCTCCCCTTCCCTCTTTTCTCTCTCTCTCTCTGCCTTTCTCGCCTCCCTTCGCCCGCTCGCCGCCTCAGCAGCAGCGCCAGCAGCAGCGCCACCTTCCTTCCTCCGCCTCCTCCTTCTCTTCCCTCCCGGTTCCTGCTGCCCCCGCGAGGCACCTGCGCCCCTCCCCCTCCTCCTCAGCCGCCGCCGCCGCCACAGCGAGAGAGAAGGACAAGGCCGGAGTCGGCCGCGACCTCTCCCCGCGCGCGAGACCTCCCTCCCTCAAGGTACGGGCTGCCTCACGAGAGCCAGGCGCGCGCGGGTGTGTGTGATGGGGCCGGGTTGGCGGCGCGGGGTTCCTGTGGAGGTTGGGGGGGGGGTTCCTCCTTGAACGGTACACAATGGGAGGTGGAGAAGGTGGTGGTAGAAATATGGCCGTGGTGGGATTGGGGCCCTGCCTCGCCTGTGGATTGCGAGGCATGTTGCTTTTGTGAGGAGAAGGGTGGAGTGTTTTGTGTGTGTGTGTGTGTTTTTATTGGGGAAGGGAAGGGGGAATCTCGTACCTTGCGGGTGGCTGGGACTCCCGGAGCCTGTTTTGTGTTTCCACAAGGGAGGTTCGCTCCGAAACCCGCGTCCCAACTGGAGCTTATAAGGGTGGGGACAACGAGCGCTATCTATATACGTGGGTTTCATCGCCGTGAGTCAGTCTGTTGTTGTGCTGTGTATGGGAGTGTGGTGTGATTTCCATCCCCCCCCCCATCAGTGTGCGTATTTTGTGTGTGTGTGTGCATGCATGTGGGGGTGGAATTGTGTGTATGTGCATAATACATGAGGGTAGCAGTGGTACGTACACACACACACACACACACACAGGCACACAGGCTGGCGCATCTGCCCGTCGCCTTGCGGAGGAGTGTTAATGGGGGTGGGAGGCAGGGGCGACGAGGGCGAAGGCTAGCGGGGTTGCCTGCTCCTCCAACCAGAAAGCAGAAGGGAATTAGCAACCTAATCTCTTCCCTAGGAGGGACCAGCCCTTAACAGACGGGATTTATTACCATGATGCCGCATGTGTGCGGTTTGTGTTGCTGTGTGGTGGTGGTTGTTGCCTTTCCTTTCCCCACCTCCCCAGTATACAAAGGTAGGATGGTCCATTTGGATGGCCGAGCCTTGTACTTGAATGCAATGCCCATTTCCTGTAAGGGCCATATTTACTCTTTCTCGACTGCTGGGCATTTTCCGTAGCTGCAAATAATTGATTGCAGCCTTGTAAACAATACTTAAGAGGTCTCTTTTCTGTAGGCCTGCTCCTATGCCTCTGCTTCGAAGATTGGTTAATTAAGCTACTGTGCTGGCTACTGGATAGCCAGTAAGAGCGAATGGCAAGCACTATAGGGTACTTAAGGTGAATATTTTATTTTTCCCTCAAAAGTTTATACGCTTTAAATGCAGCATGTGTTCAGCTGAAGGCCTGTCCTATTAAAAATTTCTACCTGTCATTTTTGCATGTCATATACCTCAGTGCATAAAAACTTCCTTTGTGTGAAATGTCAAGCTGGCTTAAAGACTACTTCTTTGCCTTTTGAAAAAGCCTCAGTCCTCAGTAATTTACTTGCTGTGGGTGGGATCTCAAGAAATACCAGAAAAATAAGAAATCAAAATAATACTTTATCAAACAATTATACATATCATTTGTACATATCATTTTTTTGCTCTTAAAGTTATGGAGCTGCCTTGCATATTTTCTGAAACTGAGGCTTTAAAAAAATTGAGGGTATTCTGGTGAAAGTGTAGCATGAAGTAATCTTGAAAAGTAATGGTTCAGTCAACTTCTACAGAACAGATACTACCACTAGAGTCTTGGAATAATGAAACTTTGGCCTGTGGTTCTCACATAAAACCAAACTATAGTTTATTAAACCATGGTTTATTAAACTATAGTGTGGCCATTATGTGTTATGGTTAATTATGGTTTGTTTGCTGCCAACAAACCTCAGTCAGAATCTATGGTTGGCTTGTGAACTTTGGTTTGATTTAACTATGGCTGAACCCATCTCTTTCTAACTTTGGCTTGTTTCATCACCTCACCTCAAATGCTCACCAAACTACAAAGGCATGAAGCAAGAGCAACTGGAAAACAATCTGAACTTTGTAGAAACTAGACAGTTGGACAGTACAGTCTTGGTGAAGCTTTCCCCAGAATTATATTTCCATACAAGAAGAGGCTTGACCATGCAACAATTACATAAGAAACTAGTAGTATTTTAAGAAAACAACTTCTAGGGACTACCTGATCTCAGATGAATCCACCCATGGGAAAGATTCATCCTGGTTGCTAGGGGAAAAGGAAGGGTAAACTATGGTGATTCTGAGGACTAGGAAATAAGACAGAAACCTCTAAAGTGCACCCAATGGGAAGTGAAAACAGCATCTCTTTAGGACCCCCCATCAGCAATTCTTGTTGCCTTGGAGTCAAATAACTTGCTTATCATCACAACTCTGACTTCTCATTGGCTAAAAACATTGTCAGGTAGGCTCATCTCACAGTAATTGCTTAGAAGAATACTTGCTGCATAACATAATTTTTCTACAAAAGGGTTCAAGCAAAACTTTGCTGTTGCCTGTCATTCAGTGTGTGTAAGTGAAATGTCATAGTCAGGTTTTTTTGTCCAGCTCTCATCAGTAGTGATTATCTCTTTGTCTCACCCACCCCCAAGTTATGATGTAGTTATAGAATTCTGTGCACGACATTAACCTTGCAGTAAGTACGATTGAACTCATTACGACTTCTCAGTAGACATGCATAAGATTGTTAGCTTATTAACATTTCCAGAAACTACCTCTGCATACTGCTGACTTTTGGTAGGCATGCTAATCTTATTTGTATGGAGAAATGAGTGAGAGCTTCAGATCTACAGAGATCTCATTCGACACATGCAGACATATACATCATAAAAACTCACTTGAACCATTGTATTGTATGCTATTGTAAATATGGACTCTGCAGAGTGCCAGAAATGCTAAGTGCCAATGCATATTATTAAATACTTTATATTTTCTCTGCATGCATTTATATCAACATATTGCTATAATGATAGTTCTGAATCACAATTTTCTATAAGAGTTAACTTGTGATTTACTTATTTTTAGAAAAGCTTTTCTGTTACTATTCTAAATGTTTTAATACAGTGGTGCCTCGCAAGACGAAATTCATTCGTTCTGCGAGTTTTTTCGTCTTGCGAATTTTTCGTCTTGCGAAGCACGGTTTCCCATAGGAATGCATTGAAAATCCAAAAGGAAACAAACTTGCAAGACGTATTCGTCTTGCGAAGCAACTAAAAAAATGAAAAACTCTTTCGTCTTGCGAGTTTTTCGTCTTGCGAGGTACCACTGTATTTGCCCATTGTTTGATCGCTGCATAGGCAGACCAATGGTGGACAGAGTGCTGGGATTAAATGTGGCAAATTAACTGAAATCACTTGACAACTTTGAGCCTAAACCAAATCAGAACGCTGTTGTAAGGCAGAATTGCCACTGCGCTCCTTATGTAAAAGGACAATATTTACATTCCCTAAATGTACGGAATACACCACATACACCATGATACAGTTGAAAAAGTAGGCTACTTACCATTACAAAGGCATGCCTGGCCTAATGGAATGTTCAATGATTGATAAGTGTTTCACCCAGAAGAGTGTGTCACACTGGCTTGCTTAAAGTGGCATGACGCTAAGTGATGGCAGAAGGCCCATGTCTTCCAAATATATGATCTGTTCCCTAACTACATTTAAAGTGTGTGTAATGGAATGTAATGCAATGTTAGGGCATGTGTGCTGCTGAACCATTCTGCCACATACAACTCTCTATCTCTATAGCTTGCAACATACCACTCTCAGGTTTAGAGTTTTCCTTCCCACTGGAACTCCAGTGCTGGATAAATTCAAGGGGAAAGGTTCTGAAATAGGGAAAGGTGCAAGTGTGTTTGCGTGTGTTTGTGTTTTCAGTACCTCTGTCTGTAGGTGGTGTCAGGCTAGTGGTTCCCAAACCTTTCCCCCATAGGCCATTTGAAACTTGCTGAGGGTCTTGGTGGACCACTTAATGATTTCTGGCTGTTGTAGCAATTGCAATGCACTGTGCTAGATGCTGTATGATTTCTGATTTTATTTTTATTGCTTTTATTAGTTATACATTGTACAGATAACCCACAACTTATATGCATTTAACTTGTGCAATTTCAACTTTACACGGTTGAAGACCAACTGGTTGAAATCACACAAATTAAATGCATGGAAGGCGGAGTGCTTAAAATGCTCTTTTTGTGCAGGGTTTTCCTGGAGTGGAAAGATCTTTTAAGGTCTCATACTTGCTTACTGGGCTCTGTGAGACCCTGTGAGATATTTCAGAGCTTGGTGAGCAAAGCAGGGAGCTTAAAAGTGCTCTGTGATGCTTGGGGTGGGGTAAGACTTGCTGGGTGTGCTGGCTGTGGAAGGTAAGATGCTTGTGTGTGAGCAGTTCCAAGGAGTTCTTTTTGACTATATACGATTTTGGCACCCCAGAACCTAACCTCTGTGAAAGTTGTGAGTTACCTGTATTGTATTTCATAGAATCAAAATTGTAATATAATAAAAAACAATATAAGCAATTAAAGTACATTTAAAATCAATGTGAGTACAGTGGTACCTTGGTTTATGAACGTAATCCATTCCCGATGTCCATTCTTAAACTGAGCCGCGCTTTCCCTAATGAGGTCTCCCGCCGCTGCTGCCCTTCCACCGTTCGGATTCCGTTCTTAGACCGAGCTAAAGTTCTCAAACTGGGACACTATTTCCGGTTTTGTGGAGTTTGTAAACCGAATCTTTCTTAAACTGGACTGTTCTTAAACCGAGGTACCACTGTATTGAATGTACTGTATGTACTAGTCTTCAAACACAAATCTACAGGCACACCACAGACCACCTGAATGAAGCTTAATAGTTCTGAATTACCATTTTCTGTGAACCTGGATAGCAGTCATGACTAGAAGTGGTTGATAGGATTATCCCTCATGAATTCTATGACTACCTTTTACAGCAATTTACTAATGGCTAACACCATGTACTGTGGCAGTGAATTGCATAAATTATGCGCTGTGTGACGATATACTTCATTTTGTCTGTTCACATTCTCTGTTTAGTCAGTTTCATTGTATGGCCCCTGAGCTCTAGTATTATGAGGGAGAAACATCCTTTTTATCCACTTTCTCCATACATGATTTTATGAATTTCTCTCATAACCATCCCATTTTCATTTCCCCCATGTAGCCTTAGAGGGCTATTGATTCAGCCCTCAGATACTTTTGGTTGGCTTTTTCTATACTTTTTCTACTTCTACAGTATATTTTCTGAGACGTTGTGACCCAAACTGTACATTATGTTCCAAGGACTGCATGGCCACACTATAACTTTGTATAAAGGGTTTTTGTTATTAGCAGTTTTGTTTTTAATCACTTCCTAATAGCTTACATAGAGTTTGCATTTTTCACAGTTGCCACACACGCACACATACAAACAGAGGCAACATTGTCATTGAGCTATCTATCATAACCCAAAGAGCTCTTCTATGATAAACTACTGCAAATTCAGACCCTATATGTGAAGTTAGGATCTCTGCCATCTGTATCACTTTGCTCTTTCTTTGAACTGCATTTAACTTGTTTTGGTTCTGTTCATTTCATATAGTTCAGAGAGATCCTTTTCTGAGCTCTTCTTAGTTAGCCAGATTTGTGGGTGATACTACGTTATTTGGGGAAACAAAAGCTAAATCACTACTCATTTGTAATCCAGTTTGTTTATGAACATATTTAAAAGCACTATTCCTAATACAGGTCATTGAGTCACTCCACTGATTGCATCCTTTCACTGTGAATACTGTACATTTATTACTACTCTTTGGTTTCTGTTCTTCAGCCAATTCCTAGTCCATACTGGTGAATTTAGTCAGGAGCCATTGGTGAAAAACCTGGTCAGAAGCTTTCTAAAAATTTAAGTATGCAGTGTATACTGGATCATACTTATCAACAAGCTTTTGGACCCTCTCCAAAGAACCATAACATATTAGAGAGACAGTACTTAGTAGAAACCATGGTGATTGTTTTTCAACAGAACTTGTTCGTTTATATGCTTGATCATTTTAAATGTTTTCCATCAGTTTATCTGAAACTGGTGCTAATCTGACTAGCCTGTAATTTCCTGGCTCTCTCTTTAAATATTATAGTTGTATTGACTCCCTTTTAGACCTCTGAAATGGAAGCCGATTTTTAGTGACAGTGGGTGGAATTCACTTGTGCCCTTCACTTTGCAGAAGAGCTTTTGATTCATTGGAGACCTCTGGTAACAGGGTGGGGCTGAGTCAATTTTTGTCAATTCCTTCTTCCTCCTAGAGTCCCCTCCATCCCCTTGGGGCACCCTTTCATAACAACGAAGAATATGTTGCAGAAGGTTTCATGAGAAAGTGGGAATTGGCAAAATTTGCCTCCCCTTTTCCATTAGTAGGGGCCTCTGATAGTTCCAAGAGCCTTCCACTCATAGAAGGGCACAGGTGAAAATACGCATTTCCAAATGCAACTAGGCAAGTGGCTAAATGTACTATGTATTTGTTCATAATACTCAATTTTTGTGGAGACATTGGCAAATAGAAGCAAGTCAAGGTACCGTATTTTTCGCCCTATAGGACGCACCGGCCCATAGGACGCACCTAATTTTTTTGGGGGGGGGGGAAATAAAGGGGAAAAAAATATTTCCCCCCCAGGCGCGGGGCTGGGACAGGGGAAACCTGAGCTTCCCCCGACCCCAGCCCCCAGAACATGCAGCTCTCCGCAAGCTAAGCCTGAAGCTAAGCCTGGGCACGTTGCACCTCCCCGCTGTCCCCGAGCTTGCGGGGCTGGCGGCAGGGAGAAGCGGGCTTTTTCCGCCGCCAGCCTCCAAAGGACATCGGGAGACAGCGGGATGGCGCGCTGCGCCTCCCCGCTGTCCCCCGAGCTTGCGGGGCTGGTGGTGGGGCTTCAGCGAAAGCCTGCATTCGCCCCATAGGACGCACACACATTTCCCCTTCATTTTTGGAGGGGGAAAAGTGCGTCCTATAGGGCGAAAAATGCGGTATATAGGGAGTCCAAAGTATGACTGTTTAATAATCCATACTTCCTGTGGAAAATATATTTATTGTTTGTGTGTTTTTCAGTATATGGCCACATGGATTTGAGTAGTCACAGCATCAAAATTGCTTTGGATTGATTGCTTATGTTAAATTCATTCTTTTTTTCAGAATTCATCTATGAATAAAACAATGTGTGAATTGTGATGGGGGGAAATGTATCAATATTGGAACATTATATTGGGTAAGTGTGACTTGTAAATTCTGTCTCTTTATAAGAAATTATGGTCAGGTGTAAAAATTAGTGATTGCTTTAAATCAGCTGTGTGCAGGCCTTAAGTGTGATCCACTGTGGGTGACCAAGCTGCCCCCCAAACTGAATTTTAAGGGGGAGTGTGCCAAAGAGAAGACACTTGGGAATTTCACTTGTCTTCCTCCCCATCGCAATCTAGCTCCAGATACACCCACTGGCATGATGCCTCCAGCTGCCTTTAGGAGCAAAAAAGTTTACCTCCCTTTTTATAGATCTGTTCTTATTTTCTTTGTATATTTTTACTTTCCTCTTTTTAAATTTCTTTTAAAATTTATTCCATTTCTCCACCACATTTTCCCTTTTTCTTGTTAAATTTGGAAGATCTGAATCATGTCTAGCCCATCCTTTCTCAGCCTTGGGTCTCCATGTTGTTGGACTACAGCTTCCATCATCCCTCACAACTGTTCCTGCAAGGGTGATTGGAGCTGTTGTCCAACATTATTTGGGGATCCAAGGTTGAGAAAGTCTGGTCTAGGGTCTGGAGAATATGTATTAGGAGTTTAGGGGAGGGGAATTAAAATGAGCAGCCAACAGATGGGCTGCTTTCATTGTAAAAATTGTATGCAGAGAAACAGCCAAGCAAAGTGAATTGTTTGGAAAGAAGAGACACATTGTGTAATAGTTTCAGTATGATAGTAAGAAAAATCACTAGCTTTTGGATCTATGTAATTTTATGTTGGTTCTCATAACTTTCAGGAAGTGGTGTGCTGGAAAGGTGGAACTTTAACAAGCAATGCTTTGAAATGATGAAAAGTTCAGAGACAAATTTACTATGGAAAAAGCTGCATGATACTATAGTAATACTAGGAGAAATCCTAGGTGCCTTTAAAAAAAATCTGGTGTTGCCTAGAAATTTGAAATCTAGTTCCAACTCTAAACTGTTCTTTTTTACTTATATTGGCAATGAAATTAAAGTAATGATAAGCATCTGAAAATAGCATCAGAGCATCATAGTACTTCTATGGTGGTGATGTTTTTCTTCCTCTTTTTCATATTTATTCTTTTTAAACAAGTGTTGATGTCAGTTGTTGATGAGAAATAGGTTATTTAACATTTAAAACTTGGAAACTCATTTCCTTTCTTTTGGAATTATTGGTCTCTGCTCGTTACATTTTGATGACTCATTACTTCACATATCAGAATTCACTTTCCTTTCATCAAATGCCTGCTGCTTAGTTATTCAGCTTGTGGGTTTCATTCCAGTGGGATATGGCACTTTATAAACAGCACACTTTCCAGTGACAACAGGATAGAATTAGGGCTGTGAAAAAAAATGTAAGTTGTGCTCTACGTTGTTAGGCATTAAGGATTTATCCAGCTTGCTGTCAAGATACTTCTCTAAATTCACCTCCCTTTCTCCAGAGGGATTTGGGACACTGAGTTTGGCCTGGAGATTGATTTAAAGAGGTGACAAAGAGTATTGTTCAGGGGCTGGAGGTTCCTCATTCCCATTCTGGAGGACTCATCTAGAAGATAGATGTTCTGTAATTAGTATTTTGTTTTGTCTTGATTTAAATTGTTGCTGGCACCTGCCTGTCTTGACAGTGGAGTGCGCCCAGTGGGTGAGGGAGTCAAATCATTATGTTAGCAGCATCAAAGTGACCTTTCCAGAGCTCAAACCTGGGGAGTGTGTATGGAGGTCCTGGGCAGTCCAGCAGCCTTGCTGATGTGGTCCAAAGCAGAGCAATCCGTTTGGCACCAGCTTGGTTGCAGAAGTTGCTGGAAGGAGAAGTATAAAGCACCAGCCAACCTTAAGGGCTCCATTCTGGATATGTGTAGGGTCTATCCTGCAAGGCAGCAGAGGTTTAGGATCAGTTTTCCTTCTCCTAGATGGGCTCCCTTCCCAGGTCGAAGAGCCCCATCTGCCCCTCACTTCCCTCTATAGCACATGCAGAAACTGCCTTCTTGACTGTTGGACCCACTATTGGTCTCATCCTCTCAGCATTTCTTTGCATGTAGGGGAATTAGTGTTTTAAAGTTAGTGTTTTAAATATTCAACTTTTTGGCAGTTTTTGACCCAAAAAGTCACTTGATCCAAGAGTGTTTTTGTAATAATTTTCTTTCACACTTGGTACTGCAGAATTTATGTATGTCCAACAGATTTTGTAATGTGAACATAAAGAATCCTTCTAAAATTATATTTTACAGCATCTCAGACACCTTTTAGGAAAGGGAAAAAAAATAGTCCACAATAGAAAGCTTTGCATGAAGTGGGATAGAGGAGGGCATTGAAATAATATATTACAGTGGTACCTCTGGTTGCGGATGGGATCCGTTTCGGAGCTCCAGTCTGATCCTGAGGTTTCTGCAACTGGAGGGACCACTTCTGCGCATGTGCGTGCGGCGGTAGAGCACTTATCCACATGTGTGCGTGGTGAAACCCGGAAAAAAATACTTCTGGGTTTGCTGCGCTCGCAACCTGAAGGATACGCAACTGAAGGTGTGCGTATCCAGAGGTACCACTGTACTTTGTTGCATGCTATTGATGCTGTTATTTAAAGCCTATTCTTGCTAGTTCTTGAAAATGTATTATTGCAACTTAAAGTGAAATAATAGTTCACCTTAGGCATTTTTATATAATGACTCCATCAGTCTGATGGCTCAATCATTAAACAATTTTAGCAGATTTTTGCAACTTAGTCTTGGGGAGATTTAGCTTCTCTTGGGATGTGCTATGGTGTGTGGTATGTCTACTTATTTAATGTGTTATTTTGATGTGCACTAATGTTGGAGCTCAGCACATTTCTAGAGATCAGTTTGAATTTCGTGACTTGGGTGGTTTAGACTTTACAAAGATTTATTAATTGGTTGTTCGCACCCGTATATTTTTGTTTATAGATACTGTGTTGTAACATGTAGGTGATACATTTAACAACATGTACACAACTCTGATATTTTGTGAGTTTATTGTTGAACCAATAAACAGTAAACTTATAATCATATGCTGTATGTAATTTATATATTTACCTGTATACCTTTGTCCTTACATGCTTGATTAATAAACGTTGTTGTTGTTGTTACAGAAGCACTTTAAAAACCAGTAAATGGTGCTGATAGAAGATCTACTGAGATTATATTTTCCTGTAACAACTACGAAGGAAAAATACTTTGCGAATGGGATGAATACACAAGCAGTGACTGCCAGCAGCAGCTTGCTGACTCACAGTAACTAGCTGGAGCACTTAACTAGTGATGTGTCCATTTCTACTTTACCCCATTTGAGCTTGCCTGTCTTGAAAGGGGAAAGAAGTTCAAAGTGGAGTACCGTAAACTTGATATGGATAGCAAAAAGAAAGACAAGGACAAACTGGATGATAGAATGGCAAGGCCTAGTGGACGATCAAGTCACAATCCACGAGGCAGCAGCTCTTCAAACTCTGGAGTGTTAATGGTTGGACCTAACTTTAGAGTTGGAAAAAAAATTGGATGTGGCAATTTTGGAGAGCTACGATTAGGTAAGATTCTGCTCATTTAATTTTAGATGCACATGCCTTTGAAACATTCAAATCTGTGTTGTATGTTAACTTTGTTTCATTTCAAAATAATGAGGTCTGTTTATTTAGACTATAATACAAAATTATGACTGCTGGTAGTTACTATAGATTTGTCAGCATAGTGTAAAGGCAGTACATTTCTGATATCTTGGGAATGTAATTTTTGGACCCTTGAATGAATCCATGCCATATGCTGTGGTAGGAATATTCATTTGAGTACATAGATTGCAGGTTGGCTCTTTGGGTACAATAGATTATCGAATATTGAACTTTGGATCATTGGATCTTCCGTCATCGTTGGTCTTGATTTGTGTTGAATTCCAGGAGTGGAAGTGGCATTCTATCTTTTTTTTACACGTAGGCCCTTATTTTCATTGCTATGCATTTTATTTAAAGAATGGGTAGGTTTGGACTTAACAGTATTGGATTAATAAACCATTCATTCATTCATTCATTCATTCATTATTTTAAATAATAAGTTTTTTAAGCCTTGAGTGAGCATTGACGCAGTATGCTTCCCACTGCTTTCCTGGCCTGACCCTAGTATTTCTATTATGGTTTCTTTAAATCACTTTCCCCATTATGTTTGAAAAGGGGAACTGTAGCTCTGAGGTTTCCAATCTGTGGGCTGCGGACCCCTAGTGGGCCATGGAATTAATCACAAGTGCTCTGCAAAAGCCTGTGAAGACTGGGCATAAACTGAGCATCAGGCTCTCATCCAAAAATGGGGAGGAGAGAGAGGGTAGCTGTACTGGCACCTGCCCTGCTGCTGCAGCCATGGCAACTTTTAACACGTAGAGTCCTGGGTCCCTTGCAGTGGTGGCTGTGCAGGGCTGGGTAAGGGACTGGGCATTGTTCACACCTCTCTGTTTGTTTATTTACTCCTTCCTTCTCCCCTCCCTTCTCATTCTGTCTCTCCTATTTCTTCCCTCCCATTATCTTTCTACCCCTCCTTGCCACCATTGCAGCCACAGTGTCCCCCTCCCGCCAGCATTCTTCATTGAAACAGACTGCCCCGGAGCCTTCCCAGCAGGCCCCTCTGGAGTGTGAGAGTGCATAACAGAAAAGCATCACATGAGGTGGTTCATGGACACCTATGTGAACCTTACTTCCAAGAATTTTGCCCGAGTGTGCTGGCTTACCACACATTGGAACCACTTTTGTCTTTAAGACCAGTGACAAGATGGTCTTGAACTTGCTTGCCCTGACCCAACTTTTGGAACTCAGCACTGGAAAGTCTCCCTGCAGGTGCCACCATGTGCTAGCCTCCATCTTCCACTGGTGAAAATTCCTCCCATTTTGCAGGTGGTTTTGAGACACTCTCGCCTCCATGATTCAGGTAGGGCTGTGTCTCAGAATCTCCTGCTGAAGAGGGTATTTTAACCATTTTAGCAATGTCTGCTGAAAGAAGGAAAGAAACTCCTTTTAATAGTTCCCTGCACATGACATCACTGCCCCCCCCCCCGCAGTGGTGCAACCTGTGTCCTTTTGGGAGGCCCTATGCCCAAGCTCCTTGGGGCAGTCCACCATGTGGGCCTTTGTGCCTGCCAGGCTGACATCACACCCCTACACGTAATGCATATGGCAGTGTTCACCCACTTCCTGCTTTACCCTGCTGCTACGGAGAGGTACGGTTCAGTGTCCATGATGTGGCACTCTCCAAGATGGTGGACCTGTGGGGCAAGGCCAGAACAATTAGCATACAGGTCCTCGTACTTATAAGGTTGGGACCTAGATTACTTTCCTTGGGACACCCTTCAATTCTAGTTAGTAAAGTGACATTATTACAGTTCCCTGTTTCTCACATAATGGAGAAACTGTTTTAAAGAAATTGCAGAAGCAGCACAGGAGAAGAAGGGGCATGTAATCCAGTGCCCTTAATTAACTTGTGGGTTATTACGTCAGTATTGTTATGTCTGGACTAGTCAAATAACATGGTGCTAAATATATGTTAATTGCTATATTTCTAAGTTACTAACTCAAAATTTTAGAAGCAGAATAATCATCACATTGGTTGTTCGAGCTTTTATTATAAATATAAGCACATACAATCAACAAATACAGTCTATGCAAAAAAGAAGAAGGAAAAAAAAGACCAGCAAGTATTGTGTACTAATTTCATTTATATAAGCTGTGATCAGTTATCAAACTGGAGGTATGAGGAGAGAATACTGATCATATTTGTACCCTTCTGTTTCTTCTCAATAACTTTGTGAAAGAAGTGATGCTGAAACAGTCACAGGCCAAAGGCCACTGTGTGGCTTCCATGCCTCAGTATGGATTTTAAATTTAGGCACATCAAGTGTTGAGTGTATATACTTCACTATTGCTCTGAAACATTTTATTGAAACAAATTTCATTTTAACGTCAGGCTAGCAGGCTTATCCCACTTTTATTTTTTTTAGATGGCTACCAAATTTGTTTCATGTATATCTTTAAATTTATCTATGTCTTATGATTGGAAAAAGGAGTACTTTTTATAAAGTGGTCTTCTGTAATGAAATGAATAAGAGCAAGCCATACTATCTAAGCACATGTGCCAGTTCCATCTGCATTGCAATAGTGCCTAAAAGAACATCTATCTCGGAAGCTGTCCTCATCATACTCCCAAACTGATTCTCATTTCAGCAAATACAAAATGCAGGCTTCCCAACAAGTCCAGAAATTACTAGCATGCTACTTATAAAAGGGGCTGACATCAGAGGGTCACACTTTATGCATAAGAAATAGGCCAGCACAATACAAATAAAACTGCAGGTTTATTTTTCATGCCAGGTGTAGAGAACAGTGGGGTTCCCTCCTCCACGTCCAGCATAGAAGTGCATCCCACAGGATCAGACGAATAGCACATCCCTTGGTTTCTGTACTGGATTTGGAGAAGGGTACTTTTTATATTCCATGTCACATGCGAACACATGCAGGGGGCTACTAGTGATTGGGATAGAGCATTCCATTTTTCTGTCTGGAAGCCCATTTGAACTCTACACTTGATGTAGAGGCAGCAAAGTACTCTCCTCTAGGCCTAGAATTGAAACAGAAGAGGCTGCTGGAGGGAGGAAAGGACAGAGAGCTTCATCTCTCCTCCTTTAGACCACAACTCATTCATTCACTTGCATGTTGCCTATGATATGTTTTGTTTTAGTAAATAATTTTGTTCCGCATGTAAGACTTACAGCACAAACCTATGCATATTAATATTACTGAGAAGCAAATTCCACTGTGTTCAGTAGGACTTGCTCCCTAGTAAATGTGTTTAGATTTAGAAACTAAAAGCTTTAGTATATTTTTTTCTTCAGAGTATGATTAATGATAAAGCTAATGAAAGGGCTCTGCTCCAACTCCTTAAGGAGCTCCAGCTCCACATTTCTCATAACCTTTGAGGCTATGATTGAGCAGCTGCTCATGAAGCCAGGAAACAGCTGGCTCACCTATGCTACTTTCTACCATTTCTTAAAGAATAAAATATTCTTTTCTGGTTCACAAAATTTCTCCCACTTTAACTGAAAAATACTTTGTTGACACACCAGTTAGCAAAAAAGAAAAACAGATTCATGACATCACATCAATAACATATGGATGTCCCAATCATATCAGTAGTCAGGGTTACATGATTTCTCCCACAGCCGTGCCAGTGGCCCTCAAGGATGAAAGACTCTTGATGGTGGATATAACTATGAGCAAAATATTCACCTGTTACTGACACAAGAATAAGTCCAAGCAGTAGAGGGCCATGCTTACTTTTTGGCAGCTACTATGGTGCAACAAAATTGTACTACCTGAACCCAATATGACTATCATCTGAGATTATGGTTTATGGGGCAGGTGTTTGGGAGGAAAAATGAGTAACTCTTTTTTTGATGATGTCGGCATTCATCTAGCCTCTTGCTTCATGCTAAAAGCTTCATAGTGATTCTAACTAATTGTTATTTATAGATAAAATAGCAAAGTGTTGTTGGTAGTGAAAGGCTTGATTATTATTTTTGTTGTTGTTGTCTTGCCTTTCTATAAACCTCAAAATAGCTTTAGGTTTTGACTATATGCTGAAACATTGATTAATGGAACATATAGTTAATAAACTAAATTTTGGAAGGGATGAACTTCAGTAAGTTCTATCTAATATTAAAATATATGCTGAACTGGTCACTTATTTAAAATAATTGCCCATCAAAGTTAAATGCTCCTGTGGATATGTCAATAAGTAGTGTCCCTGGGATTTTTGTTTTTGTACTCATAGATTGCACAGTGGGGATGGACTTGTGATTGTAAAGTTGTGGAATCTACTCTGTGTAACTGGACTAATGTTTCCTGTTTGAGTTGTTTAGTTGTTGTCCTTATACTGTACTGAAACAATACAAATTATTGGGATAAAAAAGTGCTCCTCATTGACTTAGAAATATCCACATTTGTTTCAGTTCTAGAAATAGAGTAAAAGTAAATCCAGCGAAAATACTATTTATGATCATTGACGGTCTTGTCCTTTCAAGTTAAGCTACTCATGGAACAGTTAAGTGGCATAAACATTATTGGGAAAAGCAGGCAAAGTCTGTCTTTCTGTTGGAATTTGTAACTTTATGTTAATAAGTAAAGTGCAATGTTCTGATATTTTTACTTTACATTCTTCAGTGGAAAAAAATAACCCCTCCCCTGTTGTTTAGGTAGAACTCTGCAATCCTTTAACTACCTTTTGTGATATCTCTATATAATTTTAATTAAAGGGCAGCTAACTTATTAGGGAAAATTGTGTTGATATGAGTTGTAATTAAACACTTTAATCAAGGCTTTACAGTTTAAGAGGGTTATAAGGTCATTAACTTGTTTAGGTTTGCTTATTGTTCGTACTGGAATAATTTTCAGAAATTGTTTATGGTTGACTAAACAATTAATAAACATTGCATGCTCAGAATAATCAGTTAAGCTTCTTTAAACTGTATTGTATTTCATTGGTTGCATAGTTCATCATTGTGTGTTAATAAAATGCGGATACTATTATGCAGTTACTATGCCTTGGATCCTAAATTGCCCCTTCATTTATGTAAGGCGGGGGGAGGGCAACTTGCAACAGATTCCTGTGCAGCCCCGTAAACCATTCCCAATTCTCATCCAATTTCCAAAATAGATTTTATAGCAGCACTGGTGTCTGCAAGTGGGGAGCGAAAGATCCCCCGTTCTGTGATCTTAGTTTCATTCACTGAATGAAAGCTAGAGTCTAAGCCTGTGTTTAGGTAAGCATTGTGATTTTCTGTGTGGTGTAATTTTCTGTGTGTGTAATTGTTAGTTCCCATCTGTACAAACTAAAAGAGGCTTTACTTCTTAAAGTAACAGTTTTCAATGCTGAGAGATAAACAAATAGCTCAAGGAACAAGTGTGTGTCTGAAGCTGTCAGCTGCTGCACATTGGTTTTCTTTAACTAGCTTTATTGTATTTAATAACCAGTGCAGATAGATAGTATACTAATAAAATGTTGATTTTTCATGGTCAATAAGAGTTTGACAGACATTACATATTGAAGCAAATGGGCAAGTTCCACCAACTTTTTATTTCAATGTAGATGTTTCGCCATCTATATCTATATATACATATTACAGAGGTATGAAATCTGACATTCTTGTTTCTTATCTTTCAAGGAAAAAATTTGTATACAAATGAATATGTGGCAATTAAGCTGGTAAGTTGACATTCATTAATAATTACAAGCTCTTAGATTTTCATTAACTAAATAATGCTTGCTTTCAACAAGTTGTATCCAAAATGAAAGAGTTACAGGCCTTATTCAGAGCGCACAGTTGCCAGCTACTTCCACTTTTTCATGATACAGCAAGTCATTTATTATTCAGTATACCAATGGTTAAAATACTTTTCATCAAACCTTTTTGCTAATATGTATAGTTTAATATTTTCAAGCTACTTGTTACTACTCAGATGACTGGCTTTGCACTCCAGTGGGCGCAGCATTTTTTCCAAGCAATTTTTGGCAACATGGAACACCAGCACATGCTCATTCCCTCTGCCACAGCCCTACAGAAAATGGCAATTAATTTAACGTCCTGGTGATAAATACTAAAAAAAGAAACTTCTTGCTATTACAAAGCTCATACCTAAACAGATTATCTGGGTAGTTTCTCTCTGTGCTTTGAAAAACATGTGCAACCTTTTAAAATGTAATGTTTTACAGTATTATGTTTTTAGATGCGCTGGAAGCCACCCACAGTGGCTGGGGCAACTCAGTCAGATGGGCAGGGTATAAATAATAATAATAATAATAATAATAATAATAATAATAGACAATATGGTCTATGCTTCTGCTGACCCTTTCTAGTCAATCTTGTCATTGGGTCAAGAGTGCCAGCATTTCACTGAAGATCTGTGTTCTGCCCCTTGTAGTATTGTTCCATATTTTCTAAGCTTTTTGGTTGCCTATGATTTGCTCCTGTTAAATACTTTATTTAGTGTTACTGATCTTTATATTTCAGCAGTGTTACTCTACATGACATTGTATCTAATGCCTTGAGTTTTGGACGTGCACGTATTTGTGCACCCCCCCGCCATTGTTAATAACCAAAGGGAAAGCACAGACGCTTTGATTTGTCCCAATCGCCCTTGGCATTAGCTGTGTGATTAAAATCTGGGGAGTTTGGCTGTGAAAGGAAATCATCTCTGTCTCCCTCTTCCTCCACCCTTTTACTAAAGTGGTGTCTGGTGAAAAGGTGGACTAGAAGATATTTAGAAAAGGGGAGTGGAGTGGTCCTCCCTGTTTCAGAGGATCAAGGGAGAGAAAATAAATACTGTGTACATTGACCTAACATGAGATTTTTATGTTAGGGGGCACTCAAAACAGTTGCTTGCCTTGGAAGAGGGATCACTTAGGGAAGTTACTATTGCAGTAGGTGCATGTTTGTGCCCATATGCTTTTCCTGGCTGCTAGTGGCTTGTGTTCCTTTGAAACTGAGATTTCTACTCCTGTAATTGCTAAATTAACAGCACCTCCAGACATTGCATATATTTTAATTCTGCCTTTGGCATCCGGTGTTTCTTCCTAATCCCAAAGAAACATTTTTGAAATGACAGTTCTATATGCAGTATGGAGTACAAATTAAATGAGGTGTAAATATTGTATTATCAGTATTGCACTGTGATAAACGGGTTTAAGAAAGTAAATATTGTCAAAGTCTCTTTTGGTTGAAAGAAAATTGGAAAGATACTTCTTCAGATAGCAGTCGTATTAACATTGTTGCGTTGAGAACTTGACTTTTAAAATCTAAAATCTTGGTCTCTTCAGGAGCCAATGAAGTCAAGAGCACCACAGCTGCACTTGGAATACAGATTCTACAAGCAGTTAGGATCTGGTGGTAAGTATAATTATCAAGTTGTAGCATAATGTGAAGTACTACAATAATGAGGTTATAGATTGGTTAATAAAAGTCCCACAATTTGATATGTAAATATTTGTGCATTTTATCACACACAAGTATATTTAATGTCATTGGTTTATATTAATAGTCACAGGTACTTGCTACACAGTTCATTGAAGCTACATCTAGAATTAGCCTGATGACAATTTTCCATTGAAATCGCTCAGATTTCTTTTACTCTGGCCAGTGTTCAGCATATGTGTTTGCCCTATGGAAATACATTTTTCAGAGGAAAAACATCTGCCAGTGAAAGTTAGGTACCTCGATCCTTGTAAGGCTAGTTTGGAGAAACTGTTGCTGAGATTTAATTCCATATTGCAATATAGTATATAACATTCAGTTTGACCTTACGTGAGTAGTAGAAAATGTAGCTCAGAGACCAAATTGAAATACTTTGGTGAGGTGGCTGTGTTCAGAAAATATGCTTCTGCTGTTCTCCATGACCAGAACTGGGTGCAGACCTTACTGGCTGTCTTCCATGTGTGTATTTTATGCCTATCATTATGGAAATCGGTCATAGGATAAGGTGCTACACAGTAGCTTATAATAAATTTAGACAGTACTCCTCTTTGGATAATTTCTACCCTGCGTATCATAAGAAAATGCACCCCCCCCCCAGGAATGACAGGAACCAAGAAGCAAGAAATGCAGGGAATAGAAAGTGTTTGCCTCATACATTTGTCGAGTCTGAAGTTCTTAAAAATCCACCTGGAATCCACTGAAATAAAGATGTCAAAACTAGTGTTCTGGGAGCAGTAGGAATTGGTTGTTCACTCATTTCTATTTAGTTATGCCTCACCAAATCTCTTGCCACTTCTTTCAGTACTGTTTAGTCTTCATTGTCCTTAATTATAGCGGTAACCCCTGAGGTAGTAGGTTTGAATAGATTGAAATTATATTGCAAATCCAATACGCTGCTATGATTTATGTAAGAAATAGTATGCCAAAGAGCTTTCTTACAGGTTTTGTATCAATTCCATGTTCTGCTTGCTGATGTTGCATGTTCTCCAAAACCCAAGATGACCAACATATATCACAGCGTGTTTGAAAATAAAGTTTCTAGTTTTTCTTTGTTGCCCAAATTGCAGTAGATGAATGCCTGGCTTGCAAATCATATTAAACTGGAGTTAAAATAAAATGTGGTTTAACAAGAGCAAGCAGAATGCTGGTATACAATCCTGAAATTGCAGGCACTTCTCTCTCCACTCCTGCTGTGCTGGATAAGAAACAAAGTCATAGCCTGACTTGTTGTTTTGGCAGAACCTGGTTTCATGGTTTATTCACTTGCTCTTTATTCATGGTTTGTTTTGCTGTTTTCCTTGCCAGTGTGGCAGCAGCAGGAACTGGGGCGAAACCAAAATGCCTGTGATCTAGCAGCATGCACCAGCATAGTCCTTGTTCACATAAAACCACATTTCATTTTAACTGATTTAATGAGATATGAGAACCAGACTAATGCAACTTAGGTTGCTAATATTTTTCATCTAGAACAAGAGCTTAGCGTATGTACATGACAAAACTATTTATGATTATATCTTCTATACTGCTGTTACAAAAGAAGATGTCTATTATAACTGATTGCATTCATGTCAGACTTTTAGTTGACATTGTTAGGAGAATTGTTGGCCGCCTAAATTTGAACCACAGTAGTGAAGCATCAGAGGGCATTGTTTGTTGTATTTTCTACTATATTTTGATGATGTTTAGTTCATAGTTCTGTGAACAAGAAACTGGATGTTAACTGTGACAACAAAACAGCTTAATATGATAAAGTACTTTGTATATATTATTCAGTGGAAATGTTTTGCATGTTGGTCATTAGCAGCATCCTCTATCTGTATGTATCATGTAGATAGATTTCAGACACTTTCCTAAACGACTTGGAGTTACTGAGGGGGTCTGTTCTACAAGTCTAGCCCCCATACCATAATTGGGCTTTAAAATAAAGCCAGCTATTGGTTTCAATAAGAAGTTCTTTTCAGCCTAAAACCTGCTGGTGGGGGTGGCACAAAGAGTGGGTGTTGTGGGCTGGAAGGGGAGGATCCATAGGCTCCATCCAGCCCACTAGTTCCTCAACTTTGTTGTGTTGGGATGAAAGCAGCATAGTGATACTGGTGCAATATGGGTAAGCTACCTTTGAGGATCCCCCCAAAGCATCAAAAATATCTAATGTAGGGCATGTGACTGAAACTCTGTCCTCAGCTACTAGAACTATAGAATTAGATTTGAAAGGCTTCTCGGAGGTTATCTAGTATAGTACCCTGTTCAATGCAAGGTCTGCAATGCAGCATACAACTACAGCATCCCAGACAGTTGGCCAGAAGCCTTTTTGTTTGTTTGATGTACCTGGTACCTGATCTTGTCAGGATCCATTTCTTGATGTCATTAGGTTTTGGCCAGCACCAGTAACAAGTGCAGTGTTGGATTCTCATGAGCAAATGTGACTTGGCTCCCAGCTGCCGCCTTAATGCATGGGGAAGCTCACCTGATTTGGAAGGGATTTGCTGCCAACAGGGCCTGCCTTTCTGTGAAGTGTCCTGTGTCTGCAGAAGACATTGCTGCTGCTTGCTGACTAATGGAGCATTGTTAAACCAGCACACACTTTCCACCTATTGCAAGATAGATGAAAATGCCCCATATGACAATAGGTTTAGGCTTATTCTTGATTTTTCAGCTCCACTTGATGTAGAAGTTTTTATATGTTCTGTAGCTAGCTGGGTAAAGGTTGAATGGGAGAAAAGCAGGCAATCTCTGTTATCTCTGCCCAAGCTGTTTCCATTGCTGAGCTTCGATATTTTCTTTCAACACTGACAGAGGGATCAGAGAGAAAGGAAGGGGAGGGGTAGCTGAAAATAGAGGTCACAAGTAAAGTATACCACTCCCACTGATTCCCCCCCCCCACCCAAGGCACTGCCTACTTTTGATTATGGCACTTGATTGTTTTCCATGGGCCACAGGCTCTTCACAGAAAACATGTTCTCTGAAACATGCTTTGAATAAAATACACCACAAATCATTTGTAGCTTTTTCTTTGGCCAAGGGAAACTGGTACACTAAGTTAAGGAGCACTATAACTTTACATATCTGCTGTTGGAAAATACAGTTTATTTGGGGTCTTACAGCATTTTTTAAAATAAACACAGGCATACAGCTTTTAGTCCAGATTTTGAACCACTATTGATAGTAATAACAGATAGATGATGATGATGATGATAGTAAGAGATGCATAGGCATATTTTGTTGATGTACCCCTGAGAATGAACAATAGAATAATCTGCCTATATCCATATGGTGATAGCCAACTTAGATTCATTTATTTCAATGGGTCTGCTCTAAGCATTATCTAAAGCTGTAATTGCAACACCATTTACTTCCATGCAAGTGCCATTGAATTCAGTTGAACTTATTTCTGAGTAGACATGGTTAGCTGCATAACGGTGCAGGCCTATCGCCCATACACCATTGCATGCTCTTCTAGATAATGTTTCATAAAATTGCCACTGGGATTGTTTACTTTTCAGAGCCACTGGCTCAAACCAGATAAATGTTTTAGGTCTGAACTACACATGTTCTGAAAGAGCAATGTATTATTAGATTCAGGTTAGCTTGATTGATCTCATGCACTGTGAAGTGCTTATTCTTGAGCTCCATAGATACAGTTTGTGGGATTTAGAAATTTGCAGAACCTTGGTTCTGTTGTAGCAAACAGAAGATGATGGACAATGTTCAGTATAGACATGGGCAAAATGCTAGAAATTCTAGCATCTTCTGGTAAAAATACTAAAATTCATTGGTTGTAACTTTATATTTTATCTTGATGGCAGTGGTGCATGACAACCGTTAAGTAGACAATGTGCTAGACTTTGCAAGATACCATAAGATTGGGCTTCATAAAGTTCATTGTGTACCTTGTGTGTGGATGTTTATCTTGTAATTAAGTTATTGTGCACAATTACTGGCAACCTGTCATAGCAAATAATTAAATACCAACATTTAAGTCTGCACATTCCTAGGATTACAAAACCTAGTATTTCAGTATAATATTTCAGGTACAGCCCAAACTACAATGAAAAGGGAGAACTTAAGAATTATTTAGTGAATCAAATATTTCCTGCAACAAGAAACTTAATAGTGATAAGTAGCTTAAAGTCTGTGGAAATCTTTGTGTAAGATAGTCTTAATTATTCTCCAGTTGAAATGTGAGATGGTTCTTAGAACAAAAGTGTGTTGAAATGACTGTTTCATTTCATTTTCCCAGATGGAATACCTCAGGTTTACTATTTTGGCCCTTGTGGCAAGTATAATGCTATGGTGCTGGAACTACTGGGACCTAGTTTGGAAGATTTATTTGACTTGTGTGATAGGACTTTTTCTCTAAAAACTGTTCTTATGATAGCCATACAGTTGGTGAGTATACTTCTATTTTCTTTTTTAAATAATGGTCCATTCAGTATTAGCTGGATATTCTTTGAGCAAATGCAGAAAGAATGTGTCACCTGGTTGCTTAAAACTTTTTAGGGTTGTTTTCCACTGTATTTCTCTGTGAACGGTACTGTTAGATGTCATGAAGACAAAGGGTTGGCTATGGAGGTCCTATGAGCAGAGTTCTAGTCATTGAAAGGAGGGCAGATGATTCACACAGATTCCACTAAAAACCTGCTTCAAAGTGTTGGAAGAACCTCTGAAATATTGTGGAAGATAGCTGGAGGGGGGAGGGGGAATCAGCAAATATTGCCTCCCATCCCCCTTTTACTAGAGACAACCTCTGCTTTTCACAAACTGCCCTTTTGTTTGTAGAGGAGCTACTCTGGATCCAAGCCACATCTTTATACTTAACTAAACACATTAATAAACAAACCATTACCTTTAGACCTAGCATGAAATATATTTGAGGATGCTGTATGCTCACTGATGAAAAACATTTGAACATAGAAAATCTGAACTTTGTGAATTATATTGCTCTGTCTCTGTTATTCATGGAAAGGACCAAATAGCAATGCAACCGCTGCCCCCCCCCCCCGGTTGCAAACTATTCTTCCACAGGAGTCCTCCTTGGACCTTATCCTGTCTGGGTTTCTGAGATTTCACTTGGGACTGTCTTCATATTTCAGGCTCATTTTAATTGTTGTACTACCTAGAAACTGATTTTCAACATGCTACGTTCAGTACCAGTTTCTGCATTATGTAATTCAGGTGCAGATTTTCATAATATTTTGAGGTCTGTTCATTCAGCACCCGTTTAATTTACAAGGCAGTGCTGGGCTTCTATTAAGCAGGTTTGAATTCTTATCAGAAATCCATTTTCTACACAATAAATTTTGCAGCCTTTTTCTAAAAATCAAGTTTCCTTTTTCTGAGAAGTGTTACACACTCATCTTGGCCATTTTTTCCTTAGGTGCATTAAAGTTTAAAAGTGGTTGCCTAATAATCTTAATGGACAGAATGCAAGCACTACTTAGTTTAACAAAGAGTAATTGAATCACACACAGTGACTCAGCACTAAAAAGCAAACGTGTGTACTCCCGAAGAAGTGAACATTGCTGCTTTGCTTCTCAGATGTTTTGCTGCTGTGTTGTAGTTTGGCTTAACGTGTTATCAGAACATTGACTCATGGTTCAGGTCTCCCTAGGCAAACCATCAATCATAGATCATGAGGGAAAGTTTTGTTACAGTTTGTAGCTTGTCTGGAGACAGCCTGGATGTAGATGATGTATTAAACCAAACCATGGCTTAAGTTCAGCATAGAGCAGCAGCAAAATGACTGGGAAGCAGCAAAGAGGCTTGGGAGTCCGTGTGTTTTGTTGTTCGTGCTAGGCCACTTAGCTGCTCACTAGTCATAAAAGAGTGCCTGCTGTTGCAGCCTCAACCAAAGCTAGAAGTTTCAATGAAAGAAGAGCTTCCATTTTTATTTTGACACATGAAGAAACATGTTCTTTCAAGACAGAAAAGATATAGCAATTTTTTGTTTTTATTTGTTCTGCTATTATAGTTGTGGTAAAAAACAAACTTTCTTTCATTCTGTTTAATAGATTTCTCGAATGGAATATGTTCATTCAAAGAACTTAATATACAGAGATGTAAAACCTGAAAACTTCTTAATAGGACGACCAGGAAACAAAACTCAACAAATTATTCATATTATAGATTTTGGTTTGGCAAAAGAATATATAGATCCAGAGACAAAGAAGCACATACCATACCGAGAACACAAAAGCCTTACAGGAACTGCTAGATACATGAGTATAAATACACATTTAGGAAAAGGTATGTATTTATTTTTAGAACACAAACTTAACCAATTCACTAGAATTCTGACGAGCTCTGTGCATATTAATCACTTTTGCAAACGACTGGTTTTTGTAGCTCAGATAGGCTTTATTTGTTTTATCGAAGGGTACTTGAGTGCATGTTGAGCATAAAAATACTTGCTTTTGTGTTTAAGTAGTGGACTTGAGCAGCTTTCGTATGAGTAAATGTTACAATGTATGGGGCTTTTTGTTTTAAATAAAATACAAGTAAGGTGAACTTAACCATCCAGGGGTCCTTTACCTTTTTACCTTTACCTATAGAAATGTGTAGAATTGAGTGGAGAAGTAGAGATATTATTTTTCTTTCTTGCATCATATTAGAAAGCAGAGTCAGCCAATGAACTTGAATGGTGGAAGATTCAGAAGAGGCAAAAAAAGTAATTCTTCACACAGTGCATATTGTTAAACTATGGAATTCACTGACATAAGACGCAGTGATAGCCACCTATTTGGATGGCTTTTAAAGGGGATTGATGGAGCACATAGATGGGCTATAGATGGCTGCTAGTCCAGTATGTCTCTAAATACTAGTTGCTGGGGTGCATAGTGAGTGCATTGTGCTCGTTTCTTGCTTGTGGGCTCTCCATTGGCTTCTGGTTGGCCACTGTGAGAACAGATACTGTACTACATGGGCCTTTGGACCATACCATCTGTACCTTTTCATTTTGAGTTATCTCTTTTTTTTCTTTCCTATTCCAACCATGATGGCTGTGATTCATCATACAACTCAATGCTAATAGCAACTGTTTTGTAACTTTGTGTCCAAGATAGCTCACGCTACAAAATTCAAAACAGATACGGTAAATATAACAATAGAAATGAAACAATCAAAATAAACAAACCACTATCAGTGCTACATAAAAAGAAGCAGCAGTAAAGATCCAGTTAAGTAAAAGCCCTGGATAATTAGTGTGCCTCATAGAGCTCTGTGGAATGAGTTCCAAAAATGAAGGGCTACCACAGAAAAGTGTCTTATCCCCACTTGTCAATTGCCTAAACTGAGGGCAGGGACACCTATAGCAGGACCTTGGAAGATTTCAAGTGAACAGGCAGCCTCTCATACGGTTAAATGTGTACCACTGTTTTAAAGGTTGTGCTCTGGAGGAGGTGGCTTGCTTTTTATTCTTTTGTAGAAAGAGAATAAACCTCCTGGATCCAAACAACTCAAAAGTGTTTTAAGAACTGCAGATGGGGCTTTCTCTTTGACTTAATCTAGAATTTGTGTAAGATTGGAATCATGGCAGTTTCACAAGTGCTTTCAGAAGCCAATGTATGAAGTTCTCTGCTTTTTCAGAAGGGAGAACAGTGTGTTGTGGGCACCTTTCATAATACAGCCATAAAACTGGGGGGAACTTAAAAGTGGTGTTCATAGCTATTATTCTCCTCCCACTCCCTGGTCCTGAAAGGGTGCTGTGAGCAGTTTTGCATGCAGCCTTTGGAAACTCTCCACACTTCCCTAAAAGAAAAAAAGGTGGTGGGTGGAGGGGAAGAGAAGCACATGTTTCTGAAATCAATAGGCAGAGTTCATTTTTTTGCATTCAGGAATATGAAGAGCTGGAATAGTGTGTCTTGGCTTTCTAGAACACAACTCTTGCAGGTTTAAGCCTCCAATATCTTGTTTGTTGCTATAACATGGTAACAACACAGTCCATTTTCAAAGCAGCTCTTTTTTACTTAAATATATAATTTAATTAGAGCAGTAGCAGTTAAATTTAGACTCCATATTTCCACACTTTTAAAGGCTTGATAAGTAAAGAATAATTTGTTTTCTTACCAAGATTTTTTTTTTACCTAAAATTATACTTGAGAAAAAGCTGTAGAACATAGCAAATATATTTTTGTAGCTGTGCATCTTGTACCATTCCTTTCTTATGAATAAGTTCAGAACTTGGAGTCTTAACATTTTAACTTTACTTTTCCAGAGCAAAGTAGAAGAGATGATTTGGAAGCTTTAGGTCATATGTTCATGTATTTTTTAAGAGGCAGTCTTCCATGGCAAGGCTTAAAGGTAGTGTGCCAATTATTTGAATTTTGTTTGCTCAAGTATTGCCATAGTTTCATAAAATATTTCTGAAGCAACTCAATATCTTTTCAAATTTAGGCAGATACACTGAAAGAACGGTATCAGAAAATTGGAGACACAAAGCGAGCAACCCCCATAGAAGTACTGTGTGAGAACTTTCCAGGTAATCATTTCTTCTGTAAAAGAACTGTCTGTATAGAGTTGACATCGCCAAATTTAAGTTGCTCACTAAATTAAGTTGCCACACCATGGTCATATTTGTGATGTCAGTCGGGCATATTTTCTCTTGACTCTTACCTTCACCATTTTGGTTTAATTAATGTTTAGCATATTGGTGAGGAAACAGGTTTCATTTTTTCTTGTGCTCCCCCACATTTTTCATTTGCCTACTGTGTAAGAGGAACTGTTGTTTCTAATAGATTTTATGAAGCTGACCATGCAGTTGGTGGCTGGTAGACATGTACTGAGTTCATGAGGGAGATCTCAGAAATCAACCATGCAGATGCCAAAAGGGCTTTCATCGCTAAGAGTCCAATATCCCATATTGAGAACGAACTCACAATTGGCAAAATATTTGGCTATGAAACATCTTACAAAACTTGTGGTGTCTCCAAAGCTGATAACCTTAATAAACATCTGATAGAATATTTCGGGAATGCACCTCCCTGAAAAGTTAATACCAGCCCTTTGAACTGTGCCTGGAAACAGACTGAAAGGTAGTGAAAATAACAAACCACTGGAACAATATGATCACGTATTCCTGTCTTGGTCAACAGTCTTGTTGCCTTACTTGGGACAAGCTGAGGTTTCTGGGCCATTTTCAAAGGCAACTCCCACATATAGTGCATTGTGTTTTGTTCAGTCAATTGCCAAAATTTAGTCCCCTTTTGTGCACTAAATTCCAGTTTGTAAAAATACTTTTCTGTATTTGAAAACTAAATTAAGGATTAGAGTAGCAGGTCTCTGTTTTTACTGATATTTAAAATTATTTGTTTATTCATGTAGAGGAAATGGCTACATATCTTCGTTACGTGAGAAGACTAGATTTTTTTGAAAAACCAGACTATGACTACTTAAGAAAGCTCTTTACAGACTTGTTTGATCGGAAGGGCTATATGTTTGATTATGAATATGACTGGATTGGTAAACAGCTGGTAAGTGTACAGTTTAACAAGTACTCTTTTAATGTCCCTGAAACTCATAACAGAATATCTGCTAGCATATAAGTTACTTTTCTGCAATATAGCAGATACATAGAAGAGACTCCATTGTATCCTCTATTACCTTAATTTTTTTTCTGAAGCCGTAAGCAGATATTTCATAGGACCTTTCTCTCTTTGAAAAGAATACTTGGGTTATATTTGTCTTGCATTTTGAGTGTGTAGAGGACACTATTTACTCTGTAAGCAGGACTTTAGCAGTAGGAACTGCAAAAGCTATATCCTGTTTCACATTCCTTTGTATATATCTACCGCTCTGTTATGTTTGGTTGGTCTAATCAAAGGAGCCTAATGAGGTCTTGTTTACAGAAACTAGCTCTGAAATCCATGTTCTTTAAGTTTGACAGTATGGTAGCCTATAAAACACGTATGTTTAATCATACCAGGGCAACTTGTTTGTTCTCATAAGCCACAGTGTTCACAATATGTTAAATCCACAAAATTCAGATAGGGTTAAATGGCAAGTGTAACTTGCTAGTTGTTAGATGCCTCTTGCTACACTTGCTACATTTTCTGATGTAGGACATTAACTGAAACAACTATCAAGATAGCCTGCATTTAGCCTTCCGGTAAAATGATCTGTTTTACTTCCTGGTAATAAGTTTAAACTGTGTAATGGAAGTGTACATCTGATGTTTTGAAAACCTGCTCTAGTTGAACTGCCCCCCTTCTCCTGCTCCTTGCCATCTTCCATTAATTGCCCTGTGGGAACGATTCCAGAGAAGAGAAAAAGACATCAGGAGCTTTTTCTGTTCCAGCTGGACTGTCCGTTTCTCCCTACTTCTCAGCTGCCCCATGGGGTAGAACCTTGAGATATGCTGAGGTTGCTTGTTGTGCCCCGCTCTTCTCCAAGTGTGCATTTCTGCTGCTTGTGTAAGTTGGCTTGGAAGGATATGTGTTCTGAAAGGGTAAAAAAGAATACTTAAACCTCATGTTAGTCTTGCAGGCGGGTCCACAAAGTAACTAGCCTTCTTACTCACATATATTAATGTCATTAGCTTACAAAACCTCTGTGTGATAGTAATTCTTTCTTACCAAAGGCTTCAAGGCTTGTGACTGACTTAATATCATGAAACTTAAGATGCCCTTTCAATCAGTTTTCCAAAATATATGCTGGTAACTTTGAAACCTACTATGTTATATTGCCAGCATTCAGCATAATGTATTGTTTGTAGCCTACTCCAGTGGGTTCAATCCATTCGGATCCTGCAATATCTTCCAACAGAGAAGCACATCCTCACAGAGATAAGATGCAACAGTCGAAAAATCAGGTATGCTGTCTGTCAACGTGTGCCATTTGTACTGTCATAGGTTTGCTTTAGTTCATGCTTCCAGTAAAACAGATGTTGTTTTCTTAGTACAGTATTTATTCATACAAGGCTTTTGATTCTTTAAATAAATATACTCTCTGTATGTAATTCTGTATGTACTGTTCAGTGCTTTATTATGTAGTTAGGTTTATGTGTCAGCATGAGGGAGGGAGAGAAAAAGGAAGTGTGAGAGAGACTTCCTGGATCAGTGGAGGCATATTGAAGAGCTGCTTCAAAGATAGTGCATATCGGATCATTATCCCTCCACACCAGCCTCTTTTTCAGACTGAATTTTCTTACCTGCTTTCACCATGGTTAATCATTACATCAGCGCTGACTTAAACTATTGCTATGGTTAACAAGGCTTCCTATTAAAATAGGATTTGAAGCCAGCATCAAACTCAGTTTTAAAATTTGATTTAGAGGGAACTCTGGTTAGTCCTCTGTGGTTACTGTTATTTACCTGTGTAATGATAACCATGTTTTAAATCCAGGGGCAAGGAGAATTTTGCCTAGAGGGCCTGGAAGGAGGGCACACATTGCCTTTCACCTGTCCCTGATCCATTTTTGTTGTTGAAGGTTGCTTTCTTGCCAGTCTCCAGAATGTAGCTTCTTGTTAAGAATGATATGAAGTCTTTAGACACAGCTTGAACTTCAGGTGTGAGCAAAGATTTTGGAATGTCTAGATTTCCCTGTGCTCTCATTGCTAGCTATCTTTTCTTAGCAAGAGCTCTATAGAAGTCAAACATACAGATGGGGAATGGTTCTAGCTCAGGAATAATACTTGCTGCTTGTTGGTAAAAATTCTAATTGAGATTGGAGTTGCTGCCGTGACCAAAAGCATCCAAGTGTTGAGGTGTATAGTATAATTTTATAGCTGTTCCTGAAACAATTGGTTCAGTGTTTGCCCATAGTTCATGGAGTTCTCTAGGGATTCAGCTAACAAACCCTGCTGGGGAAGCCCATGCTAGCTAACTCAATGGGGCATCCACCTTCCCCTAAAGAAATCTTGGAACACTGCATGTGGGGAAGAGAGGGCAGATTGTTCCGTCAGGCAATCAAAAGTGCTTGCTGTGGTGGAGCAATCTGCGTAGCCTTACACTGAATTTGTCCTCGCATATTTTGTATTTCTTGAAGTGGCTGTCATTTTTATTTGAATTATATTATTATCTTTACAACAAGGTCTGATTAAGAATACATATGCTATCAAATATTAACTGTAGCTCAAAGTTGCCAGTATTTTTTGAACCAAAGCTAGTGGTAGCAGCCTGGCCTGGTTACATCTATTCTATGATTTCCCTCAGCAGGACAGATAGTTTTTTTCCAAGCCTAAGGATAAAAGTAAACTGAGAGTAACTTGTGCCTATAAAATGAGTAGGTTTGTGCAGCCTGGCTCAAGACTCAGTGTACTTAATAGACTTGACACACAAGTAAAAATGTGGATCTGTCAAAATAATTTCATTTTATTCTTACATTTTGTATAGAAAAATTAAATGGTACATTAGTGTAAACATCACCACATTAAGTTTCTCATGTTAACTTCTGCTTTAAACTTTGGATTAAACAGTTTTGGCAGGTTTAAATTTTAGCTTTCAAATATTCAATGTATCTATGACAATCTGTATTGTATTGAGTGTGCATGCTATGGAAGTACTGTAGATCTCTGTTTTTAAGAATGACTCATTCAAGTGAGCTTTTTAGAAAGCACAGTTTATCCTGCCCCAAATGTCCCCAAGTATTCCTATTCTGCATGGGGTTTCATGTTTGAAGTTTTTGTTGAACATTTTCAATTACTTACTTTTTGTATATATTAAAAAAACTTTAAACATGTGTCTTTCTGTATTCAAATACATATGTATGCATAATGCTACATGTGCATAGATGCCCTTGTGTTCCTGTGATTTTTTTATTTTAATGTAGAAAACAGCTGATTAGCCGCATGATGTGTTTAATATGTTCTGGGTTCTTATTCCTCCTCTTCCATGCATGCTTAATGCATTGTATAACTGGCAGTCGACAGACCACAGGGCAGCTTGGGACCCCCATCAGGCCAATCCCCATCACTTGAGAGCTCACCTAGCAGCTGACAGACATGGTGGCTCGGTACAGGTATTTTCTGTTATTTGCATGAATATTTCCACATCTTTATATCCTTGGACACACGCGCCATGTGTGTAGTTTTCTGCTGAAAATTCTGCTTCATAACCAAGTTTGTAACCACACTCCTTTTGTGATAATATCCATACTGAAAAAGATCACACAAAATTTGACTTCGTTTCTACAAATGCTTGTAGAAAAATACTCATCTGGATTTTTTTTTTTGGGGGGGAGTGTTTGGTATAGTTGACTGAGTTGACAGATGGAATGACACTCAGTGGTAGTGATAGAAATAGCATTGGGGCCAAATGAATTTGGACTGTAGAATATCTGCAAAATATTGTACTACTGGAATGTACGTAAAGAAGCTTTATGCCACCAAGAATAAGTTTTGGTATAGTAGGCTATTATATATCTAATATGCTTGTGCAGATGTCCTTCCACCCCAAACAGATTATTAGTGCTATTGGTTCTTTTAGTGGTGATTCTTGTTAAACAGCCAGGAAATGGGATGCCTGGCTGCTGCATTTTCCATTTCCTCATGTAACTGATATGTTAGTGCCACAAGAGCAAATGAACTCTTAAGTGGTATATGGGTGCTGCAGGAGTGACCTTTGTTATCTCAGGGTCTGGATGTAAGGTATTTCACTGCTGAGGTTTGAACACATGTACCTCCTTCACATCTTCCACTTGGAAGGCTCTCACTGAATTGGAGTGCGTGTTCAAAAGCAGCTGTGATTCTATACTCTGCTTGCTTTTTCTCATTGCAAGTGTATCTATCGCTCCATCATATCAGGGGGATTGAATTCGTATTAGTGGTATTGATGACAAAATTGAGCAATCTTCTCACAGTAAATACAGAATGAGTACGCATAAAAGCTAATCATTGAAATTCGCTGACCCTTTTCAGTGGGCTTCCAATTCCTCATGAAAATTGAGTGGCAGATGGGAAGCTCTCTAAGATTCTGCTCTCCCTTTCCTCCATCTAAAATAAGGACCTGAGTAGCTCTTGCTTCCTTAATTGCAATCATATTGGTCCACTGGTTAATCTTGCTGTTCCCATAATCCTACCAACACTTGTACTTTGTTTCACTAATGCTTATACAAGGATAATTGAGGGTCTTCCTTTTTATTATTGAATGACACTGTGATAATTACAAATCACTGATACAGAAAGAAGGTACTTTCCTGACATATTTTTGTCCAGCCATAGTCACGATTAGCTAAAGCATGCTGTTGTCTCAAGTCCTAGACAACAATAGAAGCGAAATGCTTTTCCCATACTGAGCGATTTTAATGGCTGTTGAGACAGAACTGGGATTCAATAGTTCACAGTGAGCAGGCAGAGACTATTTAAGAAAATTTATTTGTCATTTAATCATCAAAACCTCCAAGCAGTTTGCATAAAATATAAAATATGCATTAAAATGAATGATAAAAGCAGATGTTAAAAATTAGAGAGCCTGATTTTTCCTCTAGTATAAAATGAGCAGTTTTTAAAATACACATTATAAAACAAAACAACAGATTAAAATATTTGTTACATTTACATGTTTGGTAGGCTTAGATAAACAAAAATGGTTTCAGCAGTTGCTGAAAACATTAAAGTGTGGGTACCCTCCTAATGCCAATGGGCAGGGAGCTCCAAAGTGAATTATTATTTGCAAGTGCAAAATGAACATTATTTGGTGCTTGTAAAAGTGTCAGTTCTGGTCACTGAAATGGTCACCGGTCTGTTAACAGCAGCCATTGTGTCTGTAACCTCCAGACCATGCAAGATAGTTCAACTTGCTGCCCACTAGATGATGCAATGCAGGCTGTGAAATGTGACTTCTTTGCTGTTTGCACTGCCACATGGTATGCATGATTATGGGCGTTTGGTTGGCTTCATGGTGAGAATTGTACCTCTTGTACTCTAGTCATCCAGCTTGCTTCAAATCCCACAGCTCTTCAGAATACCAAGGAGCCACTAGGGCTGCACAACGCCAGAGAAGAAGCTCAGAAGGAATAGTTTCCATCAGTCTCTAAGGATTGCCCATCCAAATGGATCCACTTCCCTTGCCAGGAGGGAATTGCAACTATCAGTCCAAAATACCTACTATCATACCCAATACTATAATAATAATAATATCCCAAAGCTGGCTTGTTGAGAGGAAAGTTTTGTTTTTTAAAAAACCCCTGAGTTGAACATCCGTGTAAAGAAAAGGGATGTCTGTTGTAATTTAAAAGTGCACTCATGAGTATTTTTCTGTTACTGGTAAACTGTCAGGCACTGCTGATCTTCATGATGGACATTGTAAAACACCAAATGCCACCATTTATTTTTGCTGTTAATTTTGGTGAGAGCATTCTCACTCCTCACATTAGTACAAATGAATCATTTTGACTTAGCATTTATATAGAGATCTCATTGCTTTTGTTCAGTAGAGTCTGTTAAGTGGTTCTCTGCTATAGTCATAGTGACAAAGGTGGGAACTAAGCTAGTGTTGTAATGGTGATTATAGGGAATGAGATGACTGTCACTGTCGTCTGACACCTCCATGACCTGCTTTAATGGAAAAGGAACAAATTGCAAGTTGCTAATCTTGAAGTTTCTGCAATATTTTGTGGCAGATCTTCCTATAAATGATTTGGGAATATAAATGTGTTATAAGCACTATTCTTCAAGATATTCGTTTGGTCAGGATTTTGTGTGCTTGTGCAGTGAATTGGTGAGTTTTCCCATACGTGCTTGGAGTCTTATATAGCGGTTGTCTATAGAAATTAATCCAGTCATGGTGCCATGACTGAAATGTGACTACATCAGAATCATTGAAATATGTAGGTGCAATGCAATAAGTCTAGGTTTAAGTTCTTACTGCGTTTTCAGTTCTAGCTGCCATGGACATTTTTTATGGCAAGCTGGAATACAGTGGTGCCTCGCAAGACGAAAAGAATCCGTTCTGGGAGTCTCTTCGTCTAGCGGTTTTTTCCTTGCGAAGCAAGCCCATTGACGGATTAGCGGATTAGCGCTATTAGCGCTATTAGCGGCTTTTAGCAGCTTTTAGCAGCTTATCAGCTTATCGAATAAGCAGATAAGCGGCTTAGCGACTTAGAAAAAGAGGGGGAAAAGGAAAAAAAAACCCCAGGAACTCGCAAGACATTTTCGTCTTGCGAAGTAAGCCCATAGCAGATTCGTTTTGCAAGGCACCTCCAAAACGGAAAACTCTTTCGTCTAGCGAGTTTTCCGTCTTGCGAGGCATTCGTCTTGCGGGGCACCACTGTATAAATCTAGCAAATAATTAAAAACATATCCCATTCACTCCTTATTCCGTGTTGAATCATGATGGTTTGTATTTTTCGGGGCATCTCAAATTAGGTAATAAATATGACTTATTGACATATTTTAAGTCTTGTTCTGTTGCTGTGAGCTTTGAAGAAGGTTCCTGAATGGCTTAGATGTTTCCAATTCCTGACTACAACTACCAGAAACTGCTACAGGATCCTTCTACAAAGCATACAAAGAATTAAGCCCATAAATTTAACATTTTGTTGGGCTTGCTGCTTATGTTTGCAAAAGCTCACCTTGTGAACTTCTTGGGTGTTCTTGGGTTCCTGGATAATAAATAAATTTACCTTCACACAAACTGAACCATTTTAGGTTTGAGCTTGGAGTATTTATCTTTTGTTATGTAACATCTGAAATGAGTGGTTGGGTTGGGTTTCCAAATAAAATGTTCAAAGCCAAAATTGGAGTTTAAGGTTGTGAATAGCTATTATGAATCATAATATTGAAATAAAAATGTGCAACTTGTGGGAGATCTCAAATACAAGTTTTCTGTAAAGGAAGAAAAACTTTTAAGTAAACTAATTCAGTAGTGACACCTGAAACTTTAATCTTGGCTACTTTCCAATAGGGGACGCGGATGGCGCTGTGGATAAAACCTCAGCGCCTAGGACTTGCTTATCGTCAGGTCGGTGCTTCGAATCCCCGCGGCGGGGTGAGCTCCTGTCATTCGGTCCCAGCTCCTGCCCACCTAGCAGTTCGAAAGCACCCTTAAGTGCAAGTAGATAAATAGGTACCGCTTTATAGCGGAAAGGTAAACAGCGTTTCCATGTGCTGCGCTGGTGCAGGCTCGCCAGAGCAGCTTCGTCACGCTGGCCACGTGACCGGGAAGTGTCTTCGGACAGCGCTGGCCCCCGGCCTCTTAAGCGAGATAGGCGCGCAACCCCAGAGTTGGTCACGACTGGCCCGTACGGGCAGGGGTACCTTTACCTTTACTTTCCAATAGCATGCAACCTATGTGCTTCTGGTTTAACTTCAGCACAGGAGAGGCTTGTGCCATTTGCAGCTAAAAAATAGCCTATTCCAGCAAATAGAGTATAGCTATGCAGTTCTATCCCACTTGATTTCAGTAACCGTTTTATAGTGCTGTGTTTTTGCTTGTTCAGCATGCAAACATTTAGGATCCTACATAAGAGGCTGTTAGCAAATCTGTTCTTTATAATCTCCTTTGCAGCACAGATGAATCGGGCAGAGAGCATTGTTTACTAGCACAGCAGTATTGTTTGCTACTAGTGCTAAACAAACACAAGAGTTGGCATGAGAGGGTCAGGTCCCAGTACCAGAGCAACGAGATAGGTTGTCTCTTTGAACTATGAATGGGAACCTAGTGCTGCTTTCATGGAAATGTACACTTCTAAACAGAACACATCCCTTCTCCTACGACCTGAGAACCTGCCGTCATCACTAGCAGGTCAGCCTTGTGTGGCAAAATGTTCTTTGTGTTCACTCTTGTAAATGGGTGGACCGTATGTACTGTTGCCTCAAAAATAGTTTTATCGTGTTGGAAGATATTGGCCTACATTATTAACTTCGGCGGTTATAAAGCACCTGAAAGCATCTTAAAATGGAAAGCTTTAGCCTTGACCTTATGCATTCAAAATAGTTCACTGATCTCATTTACCTATCATTTTAGTAAGTACAGAATAGCAAAGCATCTGTTGGTAGTGATTAGGGTTTTTTGAAAGTCTCAAACATGTGGTTATGGTGCTTTGGGAAATCTGTCTTCAGTTTTATTCTGTCTATTTAGCTTCCATTAAAGCGAATGAATGATTCAAGTTGTGGAGAGAAATTTGTTGGTTGTCTAACACTATTTGACTTGTCAATGTGAGACATAAAAAAGAAAATTCTTCTGACTGTCCATTTTTCTCACTTGCTTTGATTTCTGGAAGAAACATACCGTTCATTGTTAGTGTTTCACTAGCTAGCCTCCTACATTCCTGTTTTACAAAAGTTTGCCTTAGTTCCTGAAAATGTCAGCTGAATAGCTCTGATGAATTGTCTCTTTCACAGTTCTTGTGTTGCAGTAACTTGAAACACTTATAAAAGGTCTTTTTAAAAATGGTTCTCTCTCCCCCCCAGCAAATTATCCAGACATCTAATTTATTGTGAGAGGCAGATTTCACTTGGGGTTTTTTCTAAATATTTTAGACATGCCTATAGGCTTTTCTTTTCTTGTATTTTCTTTCCTTGTGGGACGCGGGTGGCGCTGTGGGTTAAACCACAGAGCCTAGGACTTGCCGATCAGAAGGTCGGCAGTTCGAATCCCCGCGTCGGGGTGAGCTCCCATTGCTCGGTCCCTGTTCCTGCCAACCTAGCAGTTCAAAAGCACGTCAAAGTGCAAGGAGATAAATAGGTACCGCTCCGGCGGGAAGGTAAATGGCGTTTCCATGCACTGCTCTGGTTCGCCAGAAGCGGCTTAGTCATGCTGGCCACGTGACCCAGAAGCTGTACGCCGGCTCCCTCGGCCAATAAAGCGTGATGAGCGCCGCAACCCCAGAGTCGTCCGCGACTGGACCTAATGGTCAGGGGTCCCTTTACCTTTACTATAGGCTCCCAGTTTGCTGTTGCTTTAGGGCTGGTCCACAGAACAATCTTGGACCTGCCATTTCCCTATCCATCAACTAGGTGATGTCTAATGATGAGCTGGGTGGTGAGGTTCAGTCCTGTTGGGTACTGTTTCATGAAGAGCATTCCCTCAACAGAATGTGTTGGTGAAACAGACCCCAGGAGCCAGCAAGACTGAAAACTGGCTGATGCTTTGTGGTTTTTGTAAGGAACAAGTCAGGTTTATATCAATTTTATTTCTTGAAATACACCCCCCCAAAGTTTTTTTCTGATCTTTGGTAGTACCATGAGGCATGTAGCAAGCAAAGCAAATGTTTGGATATTATGGATGGGATTAACACAACGTTTCCTGCCAGTGGAAGCCCTGTGCAAAAGGACTTCTGCTTTCACAGTGGGGCCCATTGCTGCGCCCTAGAAATTGGCTATGGCGGGGTGGGAGAATGGCACACAGAAAGGGAGAGAGGAGATCATTCCATCTGGCATGCAAAATTCTTGCACACACAGGAAGTTGGTATAGTGTGATGTTTAATTCCGCCCTTTGGTAGAAATTGCACCGCTTGTTTATTAGGGTGAAAGTATACTCGGAAGCAGAAAAGGCTTGAAGAGTGTTTGGTATCATATTCATTATGTTTTTGTGGGCATGTACCTTCATTAAAATGGCCCTTCACAAGACATTAATAGGACAAGCCTTCATTCTCCCTTTTGTAGAATTTATTTTATTTATAAAAATAATTATATACTCTTATATTACAAAAGTATATCAGAGTAGTTTACAACAGTAAAAACAAGAATACATGAAAACATACAAAGTTTAAAACAAGTTAAAAAACAATAAAGTTCAGGAAAAAAGACCAGGAAACCATTGCCTGCATAGGCCTGGCAGAATAGAAAAGTTTTCAGCTGGCATTTACAAGTTGCCACAGGAGGCGCCACTGAATGTTGCCAATGCTTGAAGTTAAAGCTATATTTCATAGTAATAGCTGTTGCAATTTACGGCAAATCCTTTATTGCTAAATATAGTAGTTCTTCACTTTTTTCTCCTTTAACTAGTCAATTTTTTTGTAGATGGCTTTTTCTACAAGCAGTTGGAGAAAGTTTAGTAAAACTATGCACGAGGCTTGAATGGAAAAATAGTTATAACCTAGAAGTAACGCATTAATATACTAATTTCACCTCCTTATGCTATGAAACAAATATTGAACCAAATATGGGCATTTACTAGTGTATGATTTTTGGAAATACTTGTAATTGCAGGTTGTAAGCTCAACAAATGGAGAGCTCAACACAGATGATCCTACTGCAGGACGTTCAAATGCACCCATCACAGCCCCTACAGAAGTGGAAGTAATGGACGAAACAAAGTACGTATTATCTTATACAAAATAATCGCTATGTTACCATCACATATTGTGGTACTGAATGTGTGAGTTAGTCTGTCTTTTCAAGTGTAATTTCCACTATTTTTAGTTCATGACTTTAACTAGCAAATCACAAACTGCTTCAATAGTTTTGCATTTAAACTTGTTAAAAATTGAGGTTTTGTTATTTCCACAAAACCTCCAAGGCATAGGAGCATTTTAGTTTTTCAGTACCTAGTTCTCAAGATAGGACAGGTTGGAGGGAACAAATACTTGACACGGGAGGGATTTCTGTTGCTTAAAATGGGCAGTGTCATAGTACTACCCAGTAGGGGCATTCATGGTGCGCTTTAGACACAGCTTTTCAAATCACAGGGCCCCAAAGGTACATGTGACCATGCGTGTTGAGCTGAAGTGCTTCAAATCCAATCGCTGCTTGTATTTGTCACTTTTTAACTTAGAAAGCTCTCAAAACTACTTACCCAAAAGAATGCAAATGAGTGCAGCTATTCTCTAGGGAAGGCTGCAGCTTGAGTCCCTTTTCTAGGGAATTAAAGCACTATTGCCACTTTTCTAGGGACTCAACAGAGCATATTTCTTCCCTCCTCCACCTGATTAGTACAGTAAATTGGAGGTGGGTGCATCTTTTCATAAACCCATGTAAGTACCCTTTTCTCTGAACTCCAAATAACTCAAGATCTTCATACGCCAGTGATGTGGTAGTGGTAAAAGGAATAGGGCTTTATTGACACCTAAAAGAACCCCTCTGCATGTGAGCATGGGGCACTTTTAGGGTATAATTATACCCTCATTGAAAATTTTGCAAAGCAAATTGCATAGCAAAGAAGCAAAGTTTGTGCATTTGTTGTACTGTAAAATATCGTTTCGGTTCTTGATAACTTCGGTGTTATGTTATATATGCAAAATGCAGCACTTTTACAATGGATAGCATTCTGATTCTCTTTCCCCTTTGTATTTTCTTTGTATTAGCTGCCAGAAAGTGTTGAACATGTGGTGAGTTCTAAAGTGCAGGCAGGCAGAAAAAGGCTCCAGAGCATTTTAAAAACAAAAGAGCTCTCAAGAGCAAAGTACAATTGGAAAACCATTACAAATGAATTCTAATGGCTTTTGCTATTGGTCTTTTTTAACATGAGAAACTTACTACCTTATCGAGGAGCACTTTTGCCTGCTTCTGTTTCTGCTTGTTTTTCAAATCTTGGTGTACTTTTATCTAATACTTCTAAATTTTTGTTTTAATGTCAATGATTATATGCAGTAGTTTACCTATTGGTATGCCATTATAGAGGGCAGACTATTTTTTTTAGGTGCTAACATCATAAACAATTAAAGCACTATTGCCACTAAGTTATAGCAGATATTTATGAAAGTTTAGTCATTGGTAATTATTTGCTAACTGATAGCTCAACCTGTGTACATTTGCATTTCTCAAATTCATACTTTTGCGTGTTCCCTGACTTCATTGCTGAATGCAATCTGTGCACAAAGCTAATTTTTATCATACTGATTTACTAACCCTGTAACTAAATGGCAGATTTTCTAAAGTGGTGGAAGAGCTTGTCAAACTTACGTTGTTTGGTATTTGTACCAGACAATTGGGAGACATAGGGGCATTTTCTTGAGGCAAATTAAGGTTAAAACAACATAATCCAGTGTATTTGTTTAAACATGAGCTATAATAATATACAAGTGAACATAAATATATTGGTAGAGGTCACAGCCTAAAATACATTGATGAAAGCTGTGTAAACCTGCCTCAGTAAAGCTGCAGAACAAGCATGGTGTCAGGTACACAATAGTCATGACAAATAAAATAAATCATAAAAGTGAAAATACTGCTTTGTTCATCTCATTCAGAGAAGAAAACGCTTTGAGGGATGGACCAGTAATATATCCTATCTAGAACTGGGAATGATAATCAGACTTTGTGCAAAATCTTGTCAGAAAAATAGTGTGCCCTGGCTGCAATTTGAAGTGAAAGTTTTGCGCCTGCCTAGGAAAAATTTCCATGCAGTGCAGAACGAGCAGGCATTTCAAAAGAAGCATTGTCGCACTGACCGAAAAGATCCTATCACTGATGACATCCTTACATGCATCACGTATGGTATCGCAGTCATCCCTTTTCAGTACAAATGAGCTCTCAGCTAGCTTTATCTTTGCACAAACCTGGGATGAATGTGGGAAGTTCTTTCATGCTGGCTCTTGCTCATGTTGATGTCAACAGTAGTGGGAAGTGCAAATGACTACAGAACATTTCTTCTTGAACTGTGTATATGTCAAGTCTCTGTGAACTATTGTGTACATGTGGAAATTGTTCATGTGTAGTTCCACAGCTTTTGCTTCACCTTATTTGTTTATTTAATATACTTTTATTCAGCCCTATAGCAAGATTTTAGGGCAGGTTACTAATCAATTAAAGTACAGATGACCTAAGAGCTGTGCAGAACAGATAAAACAAACTTAATGGTAGCTCAATCATAAAAAATACATTATGGAGTCAGCAGGACTCCTTAAAACAACAAACTAATGCTAGCATTTTTTTTTAATGCCTGTGCAAATAGGTGTTGTAATGCCAGCAGAGTCAGTGGCAGGTATAGTCCTTCCATAACCTTGGATATTGTTTATGATTATGTCCTAGAGTTAGATTGGAAGACATCAATGGAAACCAGCTGGGGGGAAAAAATCAACTTCTCACATTGTTCCAAAAACCCCACCAACAATGAGGAGTGAGAAAAAAACCCTCCCAAACTGCAAAGGGTAGTTCCTTGAGTGACAGGTTACTTACTGCCTAAGTGCAATAGGGAGAAATGCCCACAGGATTGCACCATTAATGTATTAAACAAGTGCTGGTTATAAGAAAGACTATATAAGAATATTTTAGAAGCATTCCGTCTCTAGGCTAAACAAAGAAAACCTTTGCAATGCATATATTGTGTGGCAAAGGGATGCAAAGTCTAGTGGTAAGAATGAAAAGTGTAAAAGTACTAACTGTAAAATAACATAGTTTAGTAGTCAGATTTACACCATTGTTTTGATGCAGAATCAGTGGCAAGCTTCATCTTCATACTTTCTTCTTCTTCTTGCTGATTCAAATCATGAGTTAAATTGCCTTGAATTCATTCAGACACCCTGATTCAAAGCCTCACAGCCTAAGCCACCAGTTTTCTTCTCACAAATGAAAGGAGCTCCCTCCTCCCAGGCAATTTCACTGTATCTTACAGAAACATTGATCCAGTTTAGAGATTAACTGAAGGCTAGAAAGGAACATAGGAGTCAGGCCATTGGTCCATCTAACTCAATATTGTCTACATTGACTGCCAGTGACTCCTCAGAGTTCCAGGCAGGAATCTCTCCCAGCCCTACCTAGTGTTGCAGAGCATTGAATCCAGGATGTTTTGCATGCAAAACAGCTACTCTGAGGTATAGTCCATCATCTTTATTCTCTCTGAGACTGAGCAGTGAGGTGGAGTTCATTTGAGATGCTGGAGAAATGCACATGTTCTGCGTTCCTTCCCCACGTTGTAGCCCTTTTCCTTGAAGTGGTGAATGATATTACAGTACTAGGAAGCATGCCTTCCTGACAGCTACTATCCTTTGCTTCATTTCTCAGTACTGAGAAGCGTGGGGAAGGGGAGGGAGTTGGGTAGGTGCGTTAGCTGCTTTTTCTATTAGGATGGAGATGTTGGCCAATCTTTACATCTATTTGTTAGCTCAATCCGACCTTTTCTTGGCAGTTTGATTGGTAACTGATTTGAGTCACCTGCTCCTGTCTGTCTGTCACCGTACCTTTCCACCACCCATTAGTAATTACATGAGATAAAGTGGGAGGAAACGTGGGAAATAGGAGATTCGTAGGTGTGTGGCTCTGCATGTGAGGAGGAGGAAATGACAAAGGACCAAATGTCGCTCTTTATGCTCTCACTTCATCCTCTCAGGGTCCCCCCCCCCAGGTAGCCCTTTCTTAAAATTTTGCTTCCTAAATCTGTCTCTCTCTTTGTTTTCTTTCTTGGAATACCTTCTAGTATTCTGTATGCGTGTGTGTCCTTCATTTGTTGTAAGTGGACAAATAAGCTTACTAACAACCCACTGTTATCCCTGTTATCATAGTCTCTGTAGTATTTCAATATTCACACTTGGAGTCCTTTGGAAAATATAAGTAATTGTTGACTGGCTTTCTTAGCTCTAAATCAATTTGGCTACCATAGTTTACAATCGGTATCTAAACTTCTGTTCACCTGGAAAGGAAGTCACCTTGAAACGCAACATATATTTCAGGTGGAATTCTAAATACTTTGGAGTTTTTTGTGAAATTCCCTTTGGGTTTTTAAACGGGATTCATCCTGGTTGGGCATTTCTTGGAGTTCATGTCAGGAGGTTGGTCCCTTGGCAACTACTGACAACAAGCCTGGTAAAAGAGCATCAGTAGCTGCCACCAAGAGTGCATCTGGGGTCTGCTTCCCCCTTCAGCCTGAGCTATGCTGTCTGTTTTTGTTGCTCTCTACAAATATTGCCTTCTTGTTGGGAATTGGCCTGGACCAGCCCTTAGAGGCATGGGAATAGGAGTGGAATGTTTGCTGCCTGCTATTTAATGGTGTGGGAAATATCAAATTGAATATCAGAGACGGAAGGGGCATGTGAAACCAATAAAATGTTGCAGTGTGCGGTGCTCCTATTCATGTTTACTGTCAGCCATGCTCTCTTCCAGAATATTTCATTCTCCCTGCCCCATGTTTTTAGGGCCACCTTCTTTACAACAGGCAGTGTGTTCTGCACCCACTGAGCAGGCACAGTCCTCACTGAGCTGTTTTTGTACTCCTGCAAAGTACTTTGAGGCTGTCTCATCTAGATAGGCCTGGCTTGTGGCTTTATTTTGCAGCTCTTTGATGCATATTTGTATCTCCACACCCCCATCATTTGGCTGGAACAATCATGTTTTCCAGGCATATAGAAATTCAGTAGTTGTTGTTGTTTAAAAGGTTAGTATGCTTTCCAAGAAACAGATGAGTTACCCCAGCAGAACTTGATGACTGTAAGCCTAAGATAGGAGGAAAAGCTCCTGAAAACAATTAGACAACCAAAGCCAAAGTTGATGTAAGCAACGAGAAATTAAAAGCCTATAAATTGACCTGGAAAATAAATAGACCTGGAAAATCCTGAAGTGCAGGCACATCTTAAAAATAAATGATGGGAAAGGTCACATATAGAGATGTTAAGGGAAAAGGAGATTTCCTTTCCCATGCCTTGGCTCTCAGCCTGGGCAAGATTTGACACTTTACTTTGTAGGTGGGGAGCAGACAAGTTGTTAAATCAACTATATTATAGACCCATGACATTGCACAGGGCAGCTTAGTTTTGAATGCATTTGCCTGCAGTGAGAACAAAGGTCCTGAAAATAGTTAACTACTGTTTGCACAAAGCAATTAAGTCCTAAATCATTTTATAGCCTTTAGAACTAAGGCAGTATAAGTTCATGTAGACTATAAATGCCGCCTTCTGTGTTACAGGTCATGAGTATGTATCTCCTTTTCTCACAGACTTGGAATTTCTGCCTCAAAGGGGATAGATAGTAGAACGCCGCAGAATAGTAACTGTGTGTTATATATGGGAAAGCGAGGCCCTCTAGTGACCATTTATAGTTAAGAGCATATCATTGGCTGCAACTGGTATTCTACAGTTGTGTGAATATCTTTTTAATGCAAACAAAGCAGTTACAACGTTTTATGAAATATGTATTTGTCCAAATAAACAGGGTGATGTTGAGGATAGTGTTATGTATGTATTAGCATCAATTTCTTCAACTCTTATTGTAATGCGTTTTGATAATTGTTTATATCAGCCTTCCCAAACCTGGTGTGCCCTCCTTGTTCCTCATATTTTTTTATTTCACTAGATTATTTTTAGATCACCTAATAACAAAGGTGGTCTAGCAAATAAAATTTTTAAAAAATGCACCCAGTCACAAATAAAACAGTAGTACAAAACACACAAAAAAAACAGGAATGAAATACACAGTACTAAACCACTTAAAGTAGAGATTAGTCAAATCCACTGAGGTTAAACAATGTTTGAATTTACAATACTTAGAATTATGCTTCTCAGAATCACCCAGATTTTATTAAGCCCCTTTGATATGGTTGGGGTTAAGCCTATTGTCAGTTGGCTATAATCAGAAATTGGGCTATTATTAATATATCCAAAGTTAATCACTTTTGGATTTGCATAGTATCTTCATTCAAGAAAGCCTTCCAAAATTGACTGTCATTTTAGCATGACAAGACTGAGGCACTGATAATGGGTGGTTCCCTAGATTGGATGGATGGGATTACACTTCCTCTGAAGGAGCTGGTACACAGTTTGGGAGTACTCCTGGATTGATTGCTGTCGTGTGAAGCTCAAGTGGTCTTGGTGGCGCAGAGTGCCTTCCATCAGCTTTGCCTGGTGCCCCAGCTACGCCCCTATCTGGACACAGGGATAGCTTAACTTCTGTTAACCTCTAGGTTAGATTACTGCAATGCATTATACATGGAGCTGGCTCTGAAGACAGTTCAGAAACTTTAGTTGGTGCAGAATTCAGCAGCCAGGTTGCTGATCCTACTGCACTACCAATTAGTTTTCAGGCCCAATTCAAAGTGCTGGTTTTGATCTAGAAAGCCTTAAACCGCTGAGGAACACAATACCTCTAGGGCCGCCTCTCCTCATATGAACCATCCTGGATCCTGCAACCATCATATAAGGCCCTTCTTTGTGTGCCTTCTCCGCAAGAGCTCTGGAGGGCAGCAACAGGAGAATGGGCATTTTCTGTGGTGGCTCCCCTTTTAGGGGATACTTTCCCCAAAGACGCTCTCCTGGCACCCTTGTTACATATCTTTAGGTGCCAGGCAAAAACATTCCTCTTCCAGGCCTTTGGCTAATTAAACAGTCTATGGCCTTTTAAACTGTGATGGGTGGTGTTTTTCTTTGTTACAATGGTATGTATTTTTTGCGTTTTTATATTGTAAGCCACCCTGTGATCCTTGAATGAAGGGCAGTATGCAAATCATGTAATGTATGCAAATCATACATTGTTTTACCCTTTGAACCTTCTTGTTCATCACTGAGTACACTGGCTGGTAGCAGCTTTTCTTGACTGTGAATTTGCCTCCCACTTTTCCTCTGCTGGCCTTACTGGGGTTAGCATGAACCCTGATTAATGGTGGTGCCAAGTTTAAGTGAACAGAGGGAATTCACACTCAGTAAGGGAGAGTGTGATCAGTTGTACGACCTGTGTCTCTTAAGACCGTACTGTGTCTTCAGTGGCCTTTTCTCTAATACTTAGAACTGGGCCTCATGTTCTGTAGCATAGTCCATATATGCTGTTGAAAGGGGGAAAGGGGATTTTTGCTTGTCATCCTGGGACTTATTTTGCAGCATACTACAGGGTGCAGTTACAGTTCTATGTTGATGTTAAAGAATACTGAACAGACATGGGGCAGAAATCCCCATCTTTGCAATGTTTTAGAAGTTAGCAGTGTCATTTTTACTCAGACATTCAGGATTTTGCTGTAATGTTCATCTTTTGACATTTCACACTTTAATGCCTAAGTCACTTGGTTGCTTTCACAAAGGCAGGAACACATTCTTGCTCTATTCCTTTGCTAGAGTGGGGACATAGCCTGCTCCATGTCCTGTATAAAGACCTGAGAGCAGGTGGATGGAACGTTATGACACCAGTGAATAAACTGGTCCAAACATCCACCACCTCTCTTTCCTGTTTGGCTACCCATAATGCTATAGTGTAACTGTCAACATTTATCACTTACTGATGGCATTAACACTGTCAAATGGTAAAAGAGGCTATATAAGTAATTCTTCACTATATAAACAAAACCTTAAAAAGTGAAGCCATTCTCTTGATTCAGACACATGTTGCTTATGTCAAAAGCAAAAGATTCAACGGCATCACATGCTTAAAAAATAACAACAGATAAACCAGCCCCCAAAGCCACACAAAATATGCCCACTGATGACTACAGATTTATGTTCAAACATTGCCATGCCTAGTTCATATACTGTTTGTTAGTAGCTAATGAAACCAACGTACAGGGATCTGTTGTCTTGTGTTGTACTTATTTTTTCCCTAATAGATGTTGATTCCACATAACTATACCACCTTCATTGCACCATCTGCATAGATATCAGATGATGAAATGTTTTAGAAGTCTGCTTTATTACACTTATTTCCCTATAAGTTGATGTGATTTGTCTTTAACCTGCTTTGAACTGGCTTAATTTTCTTAACTGTATTTAGATCAGCATGATATTTATATCAGAGATACCTTGTTCTGCATGTAAGACCATTTTCATTTCACAATTGCAGGTGCTGCTGTTTTTTCAAGCGAAGGAAAAGGAAAACCATTCAGCGTCACAAATGACTTTGGAAGAAGGCAGACCATGGGGAATTACTTACTTGCTCATCTGCTATATCGTGATTAGTGACCACACGTTTTTCTGGCACCCCTATTTCAATGAGAAGGTCCTCATATTTGCTTTGATTTGGTGGTTCAACATACTTAGTTTGGATCATCTCTTCTGGAAGCTTTAAATCTGTGTCCACATGAGTATATATTTGACCACTAAGATACTGGACCAATGGGGAAAAAATGCTGCTCTTTCCTCCAGCAAAACTAAACTGTCATAGAAAACATTAGCAGTGATTAGCTGAAGACCAGATATTTCATAAACCTGGCATGTGCTGAGGTTTTTCTGATGCCATACCGAAAGCAGGTGATTTTTCAGAGAACAATGGACATGAAAGCATAACTACCCAAACATTTGAAATACGTCTTGCTTTAAGATTTTTTTTGTCAGTAACACTTGCATTGATTTCCCCCTCCCCCATTGCTTTGAAGGTACTGCATTTGCAAAATTGTTACCATTAAATCCTATCAGAAAACATGGTACAGTCACTGCCCAGTGGTACTGAGACAGAAGCAAGAGAAGGAGTCCTCTGATGCCAAAAGTCTGTGCTGTGGTTTCTAGGGGAGCAGGTGAATCACTGTTGGTAAAATCTGGATTTAAAACTCAGCTTTTGTTGTGCCTCTAATTGAAATGCAGTGTAGTAGAAGTGGCAATAGTGCTTGTACAGAAATAATGTTTGTATAATGCAAGTTGTGCTTCCAGTTATGTCCGACACAAAGGAAACTTCAACAGAAAGATGCTTAGGAGTTATGAAAAAACACACTACAAGGAAATAACTGTGAACATGAATCGGGGAATACATTCAAAATAATAATAATCAAAAGTTAGTGCTGAATAACAAGTTTCAAGGTGAAGGTCTGGATGTGCCATGTAACAAAATTTAGGTCTGTTTGTAAATTATTTTGCTATTTGATTTAAGAAAAGAAATGGATTGGATGTCATACTGCCTTTAATGAATGCTAGCCCTTAGTTCCTGATCACAGCCGGGGGTTCCTGGAACTTTCTTACGCTTTGGTGAAATATTGCGACACTAAGAAACAGTTAATAGCCTTGGTCAGGTACTTTCCTCATAGCTCCTTGAAGTGCCTGTATTATGAACAAGTGAACTGTTCAGTAGAAAAGGCAGCCCCCCCATTGTTTCATTTAAAGCCATAATGACAGAGGTGTGCTTTTGTCATGTTTAGCTGCCAGCATCATGTGGAGAACGGAGCAAAGGAAGTAAAATGGCTAGACAGATTTGTTGACCAAAACTCAATGGTTTGTTTCCTTTTAAAAAGAGCCTCCTAGAGCTAACTTTTAATAACTTTGTCTATCAGTGCATGCCTTTGGGCATACTTATTTATTTTTAATATCTTGTGGTAACATTCAAAATGTGTATTAAAATCGATAAATGCACACCTTTGGATTCATTATTGCATTTACAGGGATTGTTTTGTAATTTATTTTTTTCCCTTAACAGCCAAAAGTGCAGTGCATTGTCTTGAAATTAGGTGCACATAAGAACACATTGTGCAGATCTGGTCATTGTTTGTCACTGTTGCTGTTAATGACTTTAGTAAATCCTTGGTATACAAGCTTGAACCTGGCCTATTAAAACATAGACTATATTACTTGGTCGAAAGTTTTCACTCTACCTGTTTGTATTATTGATAATGTCTTAAACTCCCAATGAGAGTTTTTAATTTTTATTTGAGCTGAGAAGGTAGCCATCCTAATGTGAACACTTTCTTTGCAGTATTTGACCAAATTTTTCTTCATAATATTTGTAAATACATGCAGTATCCTATCATACACCTGTTCGATTTCATCTTCAAGGGTTTCTTTGGCCTGTACAGTGTTTATATGATCTGAACTCCTTACACATAATCCAATTATGGACTTGAAGATTAAAAAAAATATAAAACCTGTTTGTTTACTGCAAAGACCAGAATCTAGTCATGGCTATTTAGCAATATTTTTAAGTACTCCACTTTAATGCTAAGGAAGACCTTGTCCTCGCAACACACAACTGGTCAGTAGTAAGTTATGCAGTTATGTTCAGGTTAAGCCAACAATGTTTGCATTTATATGCTTTTTCCCTGTCTAAACTAATGAAATCAACATTGCCTGAATGTCTGAATAATAAAACACATCCCTGTTTAAAAATATGTAACAGATGAAGAAGAAAAAATAAAGGTAGTTTTTTTACTTGTCTCTTCCATCTTTTCCACAGCATTGAAACTGTGAAGATAAGGGACTACAAGGGACAACTGGCCTATATCCACTACCACTAAACATTTTTAATTTAAAGTCTGTACACAACTATGAAAAGAATCAATAGGCATATTTCATGACTCCATTGCAGATACAGGCTTGCAGTGGCATGTGCTGCTACTTCAAATACCAAGCTGAAAGTAATTACTGACGGTACTCTAATTTTTAACAACTTCAGATATGCAGTAATGTATCTAACCTAGGCTTGCAAAATTTATTTCTTACCAAGGTGAAGGTGTGCCATTTTCCACGCATTATGGCCGTTTTCTATCTCTGATTCTATTTAGCTTAGTGCAGGCTTCTTCAACCTTGGCCCTCCAGATGTTTCGAGACTACAATTCCCATCATCCCTGACCACTTGTTCTGCTAGCTAGGGATCATGGGAGTTGTAGGCCAAAAAAACATTTGGAGGGCCGAGGCTGAGGAAGCCTGGCTTAGCAGCACATTTGTTTAGACTTGGTCAAACCTGTATTAGTTTGACAAAGTACATAAAACTCATAGCTAATATATGGTAATTTAAAAAATAATTGATAAAGGCAGTTTTTTTGTTTAATAGTGATTAATTGATTTAACTGGCAAATAGAAGTGACTGAACTAAGGATAGCTAGTATATATCTGGATGATATCCAACATTAGGCATAGAGTAGACTCACTGAATGGGCCTACTCTGAGTATGCCCAGTGTTGGATATCTCCAACTTGCCTGGTTTGCACATAATGCTAAACCATGTTTTATTAAACTATAGCTTAGTATAGTATGAACCCTGCCCATCAGTTCAACTCTGATTTGTTTACAAACCAGTATCTGAAATTTTGGTATGTTGTCTTAGAACATTGTTTTGTTTTGCTGGCTTGGCATTACATATCACCATGGTTTATTTGACCCCACCACAGAAGCTCACCAAACTACAAAGGCATGAGGCAAAAGCAGATGAAAACGAACCACACTTCATAGAAACAAGCCATGGCTTGATTATCTGTAGAGCAACTCATGGTTAACTTGTGATTTGTTAAACATAATCATGGTTTTACATTGCATGTGGCAGTTTTTTTCTGTTGGATGGGGTGATTCACCTGGTGAAGGGTGGGTAGTAGTAACAACAACAGTTTTTTTTTTAGGGGTCTAAAGGTCTTTCAAGAAAATAGCAGACTAGAGTCATGCAGGTCTTCTGTAATTTACAGTGGGACCTCTGGTTGCGAACGGGATCCATTCCGAAGGCCCGTTCGCAACATGAAAAGTGTGCAACCTGAAGTGCTGTATCTGCGCAGGTGTGCAGCGCGATTTGGCGCTTGTGTACATGCACGAAGTGCGATTGGCGAAACCCAGAAGTAACCCTTTCTGATACTTCCTGGTTGCCATGGGACGTAACCTGAAAGAACGTAACATGAAGCAAACGTAACATGAGGTATGACTATTCTATATTATAAAATAAGATTACTTTGCGCTAATACAAAAATTAAGACTGAATAGGGAAAGCTGTGTTCTTGAGGCTTTAAAAAAAGCATTAAAAAGAACTTAAAATATATACCGTATTTTTTGCTCTATAAGACTCACTTTTTCCCTCCTAAAAAGTAAGGGGAAATGCGTGTGCATCTTATGGGGCGAATGCAGGCTGCTTGGCTATCCCAGAAGCCAGAACAGCAAGAGGGATTGCTGCTTTCACTGCTCAGCGATCCATCTTGCTGTTCTGGCTTCTGAGATTCAGAATATTTTTGTTCTTGTTTTCCTCCTCCAAAAATTAGGTGCGTCTTGTGGTCTGGTGCGTCTTATAGAGCGAAAAATACGGTACTTTGAAGACACAAGTAGGGCTTGGTTTGTGCCTCTAGGTTAAAACCTAACAACATAGTGCATCACTACTGTGCATTGTTTTAATAAGAATTTTAAAAAGAACTCCAGCAAAACTTGAACTGAGTATCAATTAACAATATCATTAAAGACACCCATAAGACTGAAGAATAAGAATAGGTTTAGGTAAAGGTAAAGGTACCCCTGCCCGTACGGGCCAGTCTTGACAGACTCTAGGGTTGTGCGCTCATCTCTCTCTAGAGGCCGGGAGCCAGTGCTGTCCGCAGACACTTCTGGGTCACGTGGCCAGCGTGACAAGCTGCATCTGGCGAGCCAGCGCAGCACACGGAACGCCGTTTACCTTCCCGCTAGTAAGCGGTCCCTATTTATCTACTTGCACCCGACGGTGCCTTCAAAATGCTAGGTTGGCAGGCGCCGGGACCGAGCGACGGGAGCGCACCCCACCGTGGGGATTCGAACCGCCGACCTTTCGATCGGCAAGTCCTAGGCGCTGAGGCTTTAACCCACAGCGCCACCTGCGTCCCAAGAATAGGTTTACCTGGTGCCAAAATGATAGTGAAGCATCCCCCCAATGTATCTACATGAGAGTGTAATAAAGACAAGGACATTCTCTCTTGTGGATAGATGGTGGCATTTTGACTTTATAAGGATGCACTGTAGGATAATAAGTTTGCTCTTGGTATACACAATTCAAATCATAATAACAGCCAAAGGAAAAGAGTACAAAGGGTTAGTACACAAAGCCCTAGACCTACAATAAGAAAGAAATAAGGGTCAAGATTTATAGGAAAAATAGAGATGCAATTGAGGAATGTAATACATCAAACAGTTAAGAGAACTGGAAAAGGACAGGCTTAAAACGGGTACAAGATAATAGGATATTAATTTTAAAAAGTGCATAATACGTCTTCCCTCTGCCCCTCCCTGGTTTGTTGTGACCTGCCTGGTATGAAGACAGCAGGCCAAGTTGCCATGGCAGCCAATTACTGGTGTTGATGCAGAGAAAATCACCAATCTGAAGAAGCACAGACCTGAAAAATAATTTAGTTGATAGGCTTGGCCTTTTTTAAAATGCTCTCAAAACTGGCATACATTCCTGTACTGGATCCTAAATCCAGTTGTGCCACAGAGCCAACTGTGTTTAATGCTAGCCTGCTGTGGCATGATTCTTCCCTGCAGGAATCTTCCTATATAGAGAGAGACTGATTGTCAACCACATTAAGGTGTCATCCACACTTTTCTAGGCACAGATCTGCACTCCACCCCCCCCACCCCCCGCTGCACTCCCCAGGAAAAACCAGTCTCTACTGATCTTTAACGGAGCAAACGGCAATTCCCAAGTTTTTCCACAGAATTGTTTTCTGTGGTTTTTCACAGATTTTCACAGGGAAAGAGCCAGGGCAAAAAAGGTTCAAACATGGTCCTGGAAACCTGTGTCTAGAAATGCAGAGCAAAAGTGTTGATGAGCCCTAAGGTGGGATAGCTCAGTCGGTAGAGCATGAGACTCTCAATCTCAAGAGTCGCAGGTTCGAGCCTCACGGGGGGCAAAATATGCCTGCATTTCAAGATTCCTGCATTGCAGGGCTTGGCTCTCCATCTACGTACACTTGGGGTATCTTCCAACTTGTATTCTATGATCCAAAAATAAAAGTTAGGGTTCCTCTTTCCTTGTGTTTCCCTTGCTGGTGGCAGATAATAATTTCTACTGTTTCCAAAAGGCTTGTATTGTTTTCTGCGCTGGTGAAATATTGCAAGTTTCCCCCCTGCTTGACATAAAAATAACAATTTTGTCTTCAACACACAGCACGTCATGAGTATGTGTTGTAGCAAGGGAAGAAGCACTCAGTATTCCACTTTTTGCAGAACTAGCACAAACTGGTGCATAGCCGAGTGTTTTATTTTAAATATATACGCCTGGGAATAGTTAGAGGTACTCCAAATGCTGATAAATTTGCATTTTCTGAAATTTGCTAGTTAATGAAAAAACTATACAGGCAAGGCATTGGAAATACTAAACAGGGAAACAGGGAAATGGCAGCAATGAAGAAATTGACAATTTTACATATTTGGAAAATAGAGCTCTGGAAGAAATTAAGAGTGTGCGAGTTTGAACAAGTTTAACCTACTGGAATAACGATTATTAACTATATTGTATATTTCCTTTGCACCTTTTTGGGAGGCAATAAATAGATTTTGTTAGAAATGCATAAATGTTGCCAGTTTGGAATCTAGAGATGGTAAAGAACCAATCCAAAACTCAAGGGGTTTACAAGTAAATAGCAAAATAAATAAATGAATAAATAAATAAATAAATACTTTTGGGCTACTGACCCTGAAGCTGATCATACACTGTGATTGGAATACTTCAAGGCATGAGAGGTAAATAAACAATGGGGAAGAACCACAAGGAACAAATATTTTAATAAAATGGATAATTTTGTGTACTTTCCCTTGTATTTCACTTGCTGGCTCTTGTTCTGAATAATTATCACCCAAACTAGTTTTTTTTGTAAAATGAATACATTTTACATTCATTGTACAATGAATACATTTTTTTTGTAAAATGAATAGCAAATTTCAAGCATTTTACATTATGTATATGGTGCATCATTGAACATAAATAACTATTAGTTTCTAGCTGTCTAGCTTTTCAGTGTCCTAGGAGAGCTCAGTTGCGGTTGCTTATAAATGCAAAATAAGCATACATATTGAAGCTGTCATTCGAAAAACAATGCAACAATATTGTAGCAGCCTTCATATATTTTGGAAATGTGATAACAAATGGTTAATTTCAATTTCAGTTTGTTATCTGTCCATAGGATTGTATGAACTGGTAGGTAGGTAGGTAGGTAGATAATACCAAAAGCAACGGTCTTGACTTTGAATCAATATATAGAATAGTTATGGAAATGAAAGACAGTCAAAGAATTGTTTAAAATTTAACATAACTGCAATAATTATCAAGAGATATGCAACTAACAGGCTCAGGATTAATTAAATACATTTAGCAGCTGAAATACAGCAGAAGGCTAGTCTGATGAATTAAGGCAACAATAAAATTGAATTGGAAATTGACCATAGCTTTTTCATCAAAACCTCCAGTTTCCTATTGATCAGTTTCTACGGGAACTTTTGAATATATAGCAGAAATGATGATGATTTTTTTCCATTTCAGTACCAAGGTTTAGAAAGAGAAACTCTTATTAAGGGGACTAAATACATTTGATGGAACATAGATGCTATTTAAAATTCTTGGCATCATTCCAATGGTCTTTTTATTGTTTGGAACATTCTGAACAATTCTTGGAGTAAGACTACCCCCCATGGATGATGAAATAATCACCAGAACGTGTAGATTGCCAAATGAACCAGGTGTGAAAAGACTCAGGAAAACATATTATGTCAGTAATGTATTGAATTTAGATGAGACAGTTAGAAAACATGAAGCTTACAGTTCGTTTTACAGGCAGGGGTGTGTGTGTGTGTGTGTGTGTGTGACCTTCCTGGTTTTGAAATAATAGCTCTCTAGCAGTTGTAATATGCCAAGCCCAATGGTAGCGAAGATGAAACCTTGGCGTGAATAAAATGCACTGTGAAATTGTCAGGTAATATTTCTGAAATACTTTGTGTTAAGCATTAATAAATGTAAGAGCTGACAGTGAAATGAAATTTGTATCATAAAGGTCAGGCCTCGTCTATATAAGGCACTTTAAGGCAAGCTTTTATGTATCGAAGTGATTAGTCCAATTTTGCTGTAATAGATGTAACGCATTACAACTACTAAAGTGTTGCGTATGTAGCTAACAGACAAACTTGTTTCCGTGGCGGCTTAGAATATGATGTGCAAGCTACTCAACCCGAACTCCTTCCAACTCGCTCCTGTATCATTTGACTTGCCATAAGTGCATTTAGTGCTCTCTCAATTAGTTTTTATTATTGACTATATCAAATTTCAGTGGCGTCATTCAAATGTAAAATACCTTACAGACACAATTCCTAGACCTGCCAAGCATATGAATGAATGCTAATGTCATTCTTGCTCCATTTAATCCATCTGAAAATTATAGAATTGCAGCCATTAGTATTTTGTTTATAGGGTACACCCCAATCACAATCTGCAAGAAGATTGCTCTCTTATTTTGCCACCCACTCCATTGAATAATTTGCTAATGCCCTGCGTAGGCAGTCCATTGAGAACATGTAGTCTTAGCTCTTGTTCCAAGATCAGGTCACTTACACCTAAAACAGCTGAATGTGCTGTTTCAGCACTGATACATGACTCACAGGCACCTCTGGTGATACAGCTATTGCTGGACTGTTTAATCTCAGACTGTAAATAGGAAATGGTATGTTTAACCAAGGGTACTTAAGGAGCTTCTTGGGACGCGGGTGGCGCTGTGGGTTAAACCACAGAGCCTAGGACTTGCGGATCAGAAGGTCAGCGGTTCGAATCCCCACGACAGGGTGAGCTCCCGTTGTTCGGTCCCAGCTCCTGCCAACCTAGCAGTTCGAAAGCACGTCAAAGTGTAAGTCGATAAATAGGTACCGCTCCAGCGGGAAGATAAACGGCGTTTCTGTGCACTACTCTGGTTCGCCAGAAGTGGCTTAGTCATGCTGGCCACATGACCCGGAAGCTGTCTGCGGACAAACGCCGGCTCCCTCGGCCAATAAAGCGAGATGAGCTCCGCAACCCCAGAGTTGGTCACGACTGGACCTAATGGTCAGGGGTCCCTTTACCTTTACCTTACTTAAGGAGCTTGCACATCTAATCTCAGGTCCTCTGCCTATAATCTCTGAGAATTCTTGGAGAACAGGTGAGGTCCCTGCAGACTGGAGGCAGGCAAATGATGTCCCCATCTTCAAAAAGGAGGGGAGAAAGACCCAGGTAACTACCAACAGGTGAGCTTGACATTGTTACCAGGAAAGGTCCTAGAATAGATATTTAAACAGTTGTTCTTTGAGCTGTAATAGAAAAGGATACTGTAATTACTAAGACACAGCATGGGTTTCTCAAAAACTAGTCATCCCAGACAAATCTCTCTCTCTCAGATAGAATACCTTTATAAATAAAATGAAACAGGTCAGAAATGTCAAAAAACCAACAATGCTAAGGCCCTTAGGAAAAGGACACCCAGACCAATTGAGTGTTTAAGGACTGCTGGAATGGGAGTTCCATAGCTGGGCAAGGGACACCACCAAGAAGGCACTGCCTTTAGTGCATATGTGTTGTGCACAAGACACATCAAATGGGGACTTCCAGTGAGGAAAAATGGTGGATGTCACAGCAGCGAGCAGCTCCTGAAGGCAGCCAGAGCCAACTGCACTACCAGGCTGGCTCCCGGCTGCTGAGGCTGTCGCTGCCACGTTTCCCTGGGAAAGATTTGCAAATCTGGGGACATTCCGGGGACGGAATTTGTCTGGGGACAGATTTGCAAATCCAGGGACTGTCCCCAGGAACCGGGGACGTCTGGTAACCCAATCCAAAGCTGATCTTAACATACAGGTAAAGGCACTTCTCTACAGATAACCTAGTTTAGAGCTCTAAAGTTAGTTGTGGGGAACAATGGTAGCAATGGGTTATTGCCTTCAAGTCCCACCTGTGCACTTCCTGAAGACATCAGGAACCTTAACCACAATTTTATGCAGCTGAGAACCTCCATGATTCTAGTTTAAATTAAGCAAAGCATTTGGTATTTTAAATTAGTGTGTGAGTAGCTACACATACTGCTGTGTTCCCAGCATGGTTCTGGGGGTCTGCAGAAGGGCACATTTGCAGTTATTGCGAGCACACACGCTGAACCCTGTCCGTGGAGCCCAGCCCCCTCCCCAAGCATGAGACAAAAGACCAAGGTATGGGTTCAAATTGGCCACAACTTTATTGAACTTCAGGTGTAGGAAAACTTGGCATAGGCCCTGGCAGGTAACCCAACAGGGTCTGAGGAGGTGCAGGGCAATGAGGTACAATGAGAAGAAACTGTAAACCATGAACTTACACAGTGTGCCCTCCCACTTTACCTTGGCCAAGAGTTTGACCTACATGCCACCGCTCCAGGGCCAGGGGCTCCTGCCATCAACCCTTTAACAGGCTCTGCAAACACCGCCGTGTGGAGGGTGCATGAAATGCTTCTCCCTGGACTTGAAGATAGACTAAAGGATACCTTGCCAGGGCCTAGAAACCGTCACAATGTTGTGACGAAAATGCTACAGGGAAGGCGAAACCTGCCATTGCAGGGAAAATTCCTTCCCGGTTCTGAATACAGCAACCATCTTACGACCATAGCCGCGCCCGCTGACCTGGAAGGCAAAATATTAACCTGTAAGAATTATCAGTTGGGGAGGGTTGGGTGGGTGAACCTGGAAAAGGAAGAAAAGAAGTGAGGTTTGGCTGAAGGGGTCAGCCTCTTTTCCCTTTGCCATCGGCCCTGCCCCCAGCTGGGGGCAGGACGATGACCATCCTAACGCAGGTGGGTGGCCCCCAGCCAGGTAAGGCCCACTCGGTGTCGCAAACCCCGCCCACCTGTTGGGAGGGGGTGAGCAGTCATTATCA